TGTGTGTGTGTGTTGGTGCGTGTGTGTGTGTGTGTGCGTATGCGTGTGCGTGTGTGCGTGTGGGTGTTGGTGGGTCTGGGGGTGTGGGTGTGGGTGTGGTTGTGGGTGTGTGTATGAGTGTGTGTGTGTGTGAATGTGTGTGTGTGTGCGTGCGTGCGTGCGTGTGTGCGTGCGTCCGTGCGTGCGTACGTGTGTGCGTGCGCTGGTGTGTGTGTGTGTGTGCGCGTGCGCGCGTGCGCGCGTGCGCGCGTGCGCGCGTGCGCGCGTGCGTGCGTGCGCGCGTGCGTGCGTGCGCGCGTACGTGCGTGCGTGCGTGCGTGCGTGTGTGCGTGCGTGGGTGCGTGCGTGCGTGTGTATGTGTGTGTGTGGTGTGTGTGTGCGTGCGCGCGTGCGTGCGTGCGTGCGTGCGTGCTTGCGTGCGTGCTTGCGTGCGTGCGTTGCGTTTCGCTGCTGCGCCCCACTTGTCGTCACCTACTGCGCACTGTCGTTCCTCGTCTCGCCCGCAGCCTCTCCCCCTACTCCTCGCAGCCCCCCGCGAGTCACCTGGTTGATCCCCTATGTGCGGATCCGGCATTTTTACGCTGCGTGACCTGGGCCAGCCGGCCAGCCGCGCGTCTGCGCCCAACTTTCTACGCCACGCCGCCGCGCGCGTGGCCGCGACGCCAACAAAGTTTTGTGGGTGTGCTGGCTCCCTCATCGGCCCTCAATCGGCCCTCGCGTGCGGCGGCTGTCGTTGGCACGCTCCTTGTCCAGGCCTCCCAGATGGGGTCGGCTTCGCTGAGGATGGGGGATCGCGCCGCATCGTCGGAGCATGGGCCGTGCGGCCCGATATTCTCCACATCGACGTCGCGGATACTTCGCCGAAGCATCAGCGATGCATCGCCGATGCATCGTCGATGCGGCGCGAGGCGATCCTCCGGCCTCATGTATTCGAAACAGATTTGGGAGGCCTCTACTCTTAAGTCGGGCATGTCCCTCGACAGGGGGAATATTCAAAAATGGATGTTTCTGTATGTTTGACCATGTGTTGGGTATTTCTTGATTATTCGTCTCTTTCGCCAAAATGCCCCGGTAGGACGACATGCCCGACCTAAGATCAGGGTCGAGGTTCGAGGATCGAGATGTTTTGGTGGCGTGTTTGGCTCAGACATTTTTGGGGGGGTCCCCCGGGACGCCTCTCGTCGCCACGGCCACATGCTCTTTTAGACTCTAGTCAAAGCGCACCCCAGGAGAGGGACGCGGTTTTGTTGCCCATGTTCGGGTCTCTGGGGATTCCTTCAGGGCCCGGTTCGTCAAACACGACTCGAGATGAAAACATGAGTTTGAAGAATGGATCGAGACCGATGGGGGTGAAACAATCACAACGTCAGGGGTCTGCAGGGGGAGAGTGCAATCAACACCCATACTCAGGATGCACTATGTTTACAAGTCTGCCCTGAACACAAGACTATTCCCCAAGGAACCACTTCCGAACAACCGTTTGCAGACAGCTGGCCTTTTGTTGTTTTCACCGAACCAGCTCTTTGTTGAAACAGTCTTTGTTGGACTAGTCCTCCACTGAGCAAGTATTCCACCTACCTGCACTCCCATGGGTGCCTCCTCGGCCACTCTTCATCCAGGCGTGGCTGGCCATGCTCCGCAGGGCTCCCTCGACATGGGCGTCCCACGGCTTTGCGTCCGCACGTTTGCATTCTTGGTGCGAGCCACGCCGCAGAAGACCGACCAAGGCCTACGAGGGAGAAGGGGTCCATGGCCGAACACGCAACGCGGTGATTACAGTCGGACCGAGGTGTAAGAGCGAGGTCGGTTCGGAGAGGGTACCCCAGTGTTCTTCGTGTCTGTCGGCTGCTCTCGTGCATCCTGGTGAGGGTACCCTTGGATGCTCTGCGCGTCTCGGCCGGAGGAGGGTTTCGTGTTCTTGAAGAATGCTTTTCTGGCCTCGGGCCGACTGTATCCAGCTGCCTACGTCGAGTCCCGCCGCCGTGCCTGGGTTGTGGGTGTGAAGCCTAGTGGATGTTCGTTGGGATCTCGTCGGAGGCCTCTCGCGGGCCTCTTGCAAATAGCTTCCAGGCCGTTTGGGGGGCCATTTGGAGCCCTGCAGGGGCCTCTTCTGGGCTTCTTGGGGGCCTCGCGAGGCCTCCTGCGGCCTCTTGGGGGCCCCTGGCGGATCCTTAAGGGCTTCGCCCTTTCCCGCCGGCCCTTCATTATCACAATGGTAGGTGTCGGAGATATGCAGAGACGTGTCGGCGCAGTTTTTTTTTACTTCTGGGAGCATCATGCGTGTTGAATGTTTGGTTCCCTTCTCAGGGCGCGAACCTAGCGTATTTTTCTAAGGATTCTGACCTCGGGAGCGCGGATATGGCTAATGTGCGACGGGATTGGCCTCGGAAAGTCAAACCTGGCTTAATGTACGAAGCATTCTGTTCCCAGGAGCGCGAATCTGGCGTAATGTTCCAAGGATTCTGGCCCAGTAGTCGCGAATGTTGCATGAATTGCTGTGGATTCGGGCTTGGGGAACGCGAATTTGGGGGAATTCCAGAAGCAGTCTGGCCTCAGACAGCGTGATTCTTGGGTGGTAATGAAGCAGGTTGGTTTCCAGCCTCATCCCCCCGCGCGGACAGTAACCATCTGGGGGCAGTTTGGGGGGTCTGATTATTCGGGCTTCCCGGGGGCCTCGTAGGGCCAGCGGGTATAATCTCTTGGTGTTTTCATTTCTCCCCGCCAACGCAATTCATCAGAACGGCCACGTGTTATACGCTCCCCCCCTGCCGTTGCGTGACCTCTTGGTCCCGTGCGCGTTCACTGGTACACATTCGTCCCATGGCATTTCGGATCTCACGTGATCTCAGGGCATTGCCCCTGCTTGCCTCGATTCCCACGTACTCTCCTGGCTTTGGTTGGAGGGGCGATCTCGAAGCCAGGCTGTCCATCCCCTACTTCAGCTCCCTCGCTGCCGTCCTCCTGCTCCACAAGTCAGAGTTGCTCCGCACCCTCATGCACCCTCCCGGCGCCCCCCTTCCCTTTGCCATGAGCCTGAAGATTAATCCGAGACCGGTCCCTGACCCCGCCTGGAGTCCGTCTTGGGCAAGCGGGGGGGGAAGGGGAGGAAGGGGAGGGGGAAGAAGGGGAGGGGGAGGAGGGTGACAGGGCATTTGCCTCTTTGGGCGGGGGGATTGCCTCGCACTTGTGCGCGGAAGATCAGTCCTTCGAAGACACAACTGAAAACACCACGCCGTTCTCAATCACCCCGGTTGCAGGGGCTTGACTCGCCCCTCTTCCCCCCTGCCACAGCTCCGGCGTCGTGACCTTGTCGCCACGTGTCGGGAGCCCCCAAACGGGGTGGTGACCACACCGTGTGGTGAGTCGGTGGGGATTCGGGGTCACCGCACGGTTTTGAGACTCGAGTCGTTCTCCGAGGACGTCTCGGGCGACTGGAGCCTCCAGAGTCCCAAAACCGTGCGTTGACGGACCGTGCGGTGAGGTCTTGGGGGATTTCGAGGTCACCGCACGGTCCGTCACCGTACTGTTTCGGGACTACAAAAACGTGGGCCTCCAGAGGTCTCGACCTTCTCCCGGGCGCCCTCCCGGACAGTTTTCTGACGAAGGCCAAGCACAGCCAAAGCGCATAGGAAGGACAAGCGAGTTTCCAGAGCTCCTTGTTGCGTCCTTGCCCCCTCGGCACATCCTTGGCGACCTATGCTGGCCAGCCCCGTTCGCGGAACGCCAGCATTGCCTTCCAAGGCCCAGGCATCCGAATCGTGCATCCTTGTGATGCGTCTTGGCTGCACGGCCCAAAACGTCCCGCCGTCATTGGTCCACGACGCAGAGGGGGCTTTCGGACGGGGCTAGGACGAGGATAAAATCCGTTCCGGAGCGTTCCGGAGCGCTCTCAGAGCGTTGCGGAACGACCATCGAGGGCCGCCGGATCTCAGAGATGTTCGTGTTTACCTTCGCCCGATTGTATCATCGTCCTGCCCTCGTCTCAGGCTTGGCCCCTTCGCCAGCGCTCATGATAATATCAGCTCGTGTCATCAGTTTTTAGGGCGGGCTGGGCATTTTCCCTGAGACGTCCTCACCACGAACGACTCCGAAGCTTAGAAATTGAAAACAACTTCACACATGGAGGGCGGGTCGTTTTCAGAATGTGGTTCTCGGTTTAGCGCCTTGCACGTTTGTTTTGAACATCTGCAAGAGCTTGGCGACCCGTTTTCAAAATGTGGTTCTCGCGTTAGCGCCGCGCATACTCGTTTTACAGATTTGCAAGAATTTCGCGGATTGAGGGCCACCCGTTTTCAAGATGTGGTGGTTCTCGCTTTAGCGCCGCGCGCAGTCTTCTTAAAGTATGCGCAAGAATTTCACGGATCGAGGGCTGTTCCTTTTCAAAAGGGTTTTCCGTTTTAGCGTTGCGCGCATTCGTCAATGCAATTTGTAAAAGTTTCACGGATACCCGTGATCAGCGTACCAGAAAAATGTGTTTAGGGAGGATTCTGGATTACGCCGGTGCAACAGTTAAGTACGTTGATTCGCGGTGTTGAGGTCCCAGGAATGGCTTTCTGGCACGGTTCAGGATCGTGAAGATGCGACAGTCAAGTTGATTTGTGGCGTTGGAATCCCGAGCTCAATGTTTTGGCATGTTTCAGGGTCTTCAAACAATTGTCTTCCAACGCAGAATTTCCTTCAGTGGACATGAGCTGTTGTAAGGGCCTGTGAATAGGGAGCTTGGAGGGAGGGCGTATTCCGACGTCATTGATGACTCTTGGGTTTGCACTGGTCCTCCTCCTCCTCCTTCTCCCCCCTCCTCCTCTTTCTCCTCCTCCTTCTCCTCCTCCTCCTCCTCCTCCTCCCCCTCCTCCCCCTCCTCCTCCTCCCCCTCCTCCCCCTCCCCCTCCTCCCCTTCCCCCTCCCCCTCCCCCTCCTCCCCCCCCTTGTGCTGCTCTCGCCTCGGGCTTTGGAGCCCCTCGCAGCCATGCTGCTCAGGGCCCGCTCTCGCCAGCCATGGCGCTGGCGTTCCCGGGGGCCCGCCCCGCCGGGCCCCGCGGCGCTGCCGCGCACGGGCGCGCGGGCCCCGGCGCCGCGCCCGGCGAGAGAGGCGGGGCCGTGTATCCAGGGGGAGGGGGCGGTGGAGGAGGAGGAGGAGGAGGAGGAGGAGGAGGAGGAGGAGGAGGAGCAGGAGCAGGAGCAGGAGCAGGAGCAGGAGCAGGAGCAGGAGCAGGAGCAGGAGGAGCAGGAGCAGGATTGGGAGGAGGAGGATTATGATGATGAGGAGGAGGAGGAGGAGGAGAAGGAGGAGGAGGTGAAAGGGGAGGAGGAGGAGGAGGAGGAGGAGGAGGAGGAGGAGGAGGAGGAGGAGGAGGGGAGGGAAGAAGGGCAAGGCAGGTGCGCTCGGGCCACATCTTACATCCTACGATAGGTTCATGCGGCGTTTGCGCGCCGGCGACGCCAGCGAATGCGTTCAAGATGGAATTCTGCGACGTGGAAGTACCGAGGGACGTGGTGACGCCATTGGACCCAACGGAATTCAATCTTGAACGAACGGGTCCGCGATCGGTTCAAGGTTGAACGATCGACGCGGTGTCAACACTTCTTGTAGGCGCCAACGCCGCACGAACTTGCCGTACCCCTCTCCCACCCATCACTTCCCACTTCGCTCTATTTGTTAGTGTTCACCGTGGGCGCATCATAATACACATATCCCCGATATGAGAGGTGTGGAAGGAGGGGAGGAGGAGGAGGATGAGGAGGAAGAGGAGGATCTGCAGCAGCATGAGTTATTAGCAGCAGGACCAGGAGGGGCAAGAGGACCTCGAAGAGTAGAAGATGGAGGACCAAGGCAAGGTAAGGAAGGATTCGACGGGAGGATGGGGAAGGATGGGGATTGTGAGGTAAGGAAGGCTGGGAGAAGAAAGGACGATGGGAAGGTAAGGGGGGATGGGTAAGGAAGGACGGGAGGAATCAATCTGACCCAGAGAGATGACCCACGCTACGGCGAGATCGCTATATCGACGGGGGCAAAGCGCCGATCCTGGAACGCGGCCACCGCTGCAGCGGGAACACAACATTCGTCGGGCCGAAAGCAGCCAGTCGATACATCGAATTACATGAGTATGACATCCTCGGTGTGAAACGTATGCGCGGGAGAGAGAAAGAGAGGGATAGATAGAGAGAGAGAGATAGAGAGAGAGAGAGATGGAGAGCGAGCGAGAGAGAGAGAGAGGGGCGCGGTTTTTTGCATTAGGCAGTAGCAGGGGGAGATTAGAGGGTGGTATTCGTGTTGTGTAATGCTTGATGGGGAGAGGAAGGGGATGGCTGCGGAGGAGCTGGGAGAGAAAGAGGATGGAGGAGGAGAGGGAGTTGGTGGCATGGTGCTACGAGGATGTCGATCTGCACTTAAAGACGAGGGCAGCATTAGAAGTCACATTTGAGTAAGCTGCACCGCGCCCCTCTCGGGGCAGCAGTGCCGGCAGCCCAGGGGCGTAGGCCGCACGAGAAGAACATAGATAACACCTAACACTAATAGTAATAATAGTAGCACGGTAAATAAGAAGGAGAAGAGGATTAATAATATATGGGAAAATAAGACGAAGAAAGGGAGGAGAAGGAGGAGGAGGAGAAGGAGGAGGAGGAGTAGGAAGAGGGGGTCAGGGCGTAGAAGGAGGAGGACCCCCTTCTCTATAGGGTTTGGGGCGTATCCTCCGCGCTTTTGGAGCCTCGGGGAGGCTTCTTGCCGCCACGGCTGGATTCTCTTCGAATTACAACTCAAAGTGGACCGCTCCCCTGGATCCAAGGGCAACGGCTGCGGCGGCGGCGGCGGCGACCACGACGACGACGACGACGACGACGACGACGACGACGACGACGACGACGACGACGACGACGACGACGACCGCGGCGGCGGCGGCGGCGGCGGCGGCGGCTGCGGCGACGACGACGACGACGACGACGACGACGACCGCGGCGGCGGCGGCGGCGGTGGCGGCGGCCACGACGACGACGCCGACGACGACGACGACGACGACGACCGCGGCGGCGGCGGTGGCGGCGGCCACGACGACGACGACGACGACGACGACGACGACGACGACGACGACGACGACGACCGCGGCGGCGGCGCCAGCGGCGACGACGACGGCGTCGGCGGCGACGACGACGGCTGCGGCGGCGGCGACGATGACGACGACGCTGAGCGGCAGAAGACCCCCAAAAGGCTGCGGCTCTGCCGCCGCCGCCAGCAGGGAGCGCCCGCGCTCCGCCGCCTCCCCGTGTGCACTAACGGGGCCGCTGGCGTTGTGCGTGGCGACCGCGGCTGCGAGGCGCGCCTGTCTGGGAGGACGACGGCGACGTCGCCGCTCGAGGTTCGAGGGCGGAGGTTCGAGGTTCGAGGTTCGATGGTGGAGATTCGAGAATCTTAGTTCGAGCTGACATATGGGGGCCTTGCATATCCTCGGTAGCCCGTCCTCAGCGTGCAGACGGGTTCGCTAGCGTCTGGCAATCGATGAGAACGCGCCGATTTCAGCGTCGATGTGCGTCGAATCAGCGTCAACCAGCGTCGTTGCGCCTCATCCAACAGGATGGTCGGGGATGCTCCTGTTAGTTGCCGTGAAGAGAACGGTTCCTGGGGAACATGGACCTTGAGGTTTTGGGTTAGGTCGGGCATGTTCTCCTACAGGCGGATGTTGCACGACAAGCGCATATGAATTCATCAAAGAAAATCCAAACATCGACAAACGTAGTAGAAACATCGTCCCCTGAGCACGTCTTGGCTATTGTTGAACATCCCTCCTGTAGAGGGACACGCCCGACGGAAGTTTTTGGCCGTTGTCGGGCTCCCGGAGCCCTCGACGGTCCACGGGCCCCGGGGCTGTCCGAAATCGGACAAGCTTCGGGCGGGTGGTAATGGGGGCTGGCCCAAATTCGGGTATTGGAACCTATACATTACCAGTGGACGCATTGAAACAAGAAGAGGCGCCATGAAATCTGGGCGATCTCATGGCTCCCGCCATGATATCCCTCCCCTAATCTCGGACACTGGAACGTCTACATTACCAGTGGCGGGCTGTTTTTCAATCCCACGACTTTTTGAGGTTCGAGGACGACGTCGGGGTGGTGTGGTGTATACTTGTTACCCCGTCTCCTTTTTGTGGGAAACAACGAACATGTATACACCAGGATCCCGTATACACCAGGATCCGCGTTCCTGTGCGAATTTCTGCGCAGGGTCGGAAAACACGTCGGTGTATAGAGTTCGCTTCCCTAAAATAGGGGGTGAAGACAAAGGCCTTAAAGGGCCGGCAGGGCCTCTTTTGGAGCCAGTTGGTGCCCAAAAGGGGCCCCAAAGGGCCCCCTTGGGGCCTTCTTCTTCATGCCCCATGTGGGCCACCCCCCATGAACCACCCGCACGAAAGCTGGTCCTGGGGGAAGGCCGTGGGGACCAGGACCCGCTTTCCTCAGGACCCGTCTGCTTCATGCCAACGAGGGTCGGGACCCAAGGGGCGGGGGTCAATGCAGGCGGGGGTCAGCCAGGGCGCCGGATCCCTCAGGATCCTGCAGAGCCAGGGGTGCTGCTCTGACCCGGGTCAGCGTGCAGGATTTTCCGGATTTTGCAAAGCCCGACTGACCTGGGTTTGCGTTGGCCCTGGTCAGTAGATCCACGAGAGGGGGCGGGCCTCGTCAGCAAACTCGCGAGGCCTCCGGCCTTCTGAGAGGGCTGCTGAGCCTTGCCCACAGCTGTACGTAGGTGGGTGGGAGGTCTCAAACGGCCTGAGGGCTCTGAAAAGCCCCGCCCTTTTCTGAGATGCCCCGCCCCCTCGCTGTCCCCCCCTCGGCGCGCTGCCGATTTTGAACGCGGATCGAGGATCCAAGGGGGCGAGAGGAGGAGGAGGAGGGCGAGAGGAGGAGGAGGAGGAGAGGAGGAGGAGGAGGAGGAGGAGGCCCACATGCACGCCCTCCTCCTCTCCTCCTCTCCTCTCGTCCTCCTCCTCCTCCTCTCCTCGCGGTCCGAGGATCGAGGGGGCGGGGTTTCGGGCGCTTTCGGGCCTTACCCGGCCTTCCCAGGGTGTCTTCTCGTGGCCACGGCTGGGATCCCTTCGAGATTCTGGCAGGAACGCGCCCATGAGGCGGCAGCGACGACGGCGGCTGCGGCGGCAGCGGCGGCGACGGGGGGATCGAGATTCGAGGAGTGGTTTCCCAATCTGAAGTATCCAGAGGCCCGTTTCGGGCGCCGGGACTGTGAAACAGCTGCACAGGGAAACTGCCTTCAGGGACCCCGTTGGGCTGTTTTGGGGCGCTCGTGGGCCGTCTGGAACCGATCCGGGGGACCTTTTGAAGCGTCTTGGGCCCCGTGCCGTCCCAGGCTCGTCTTGGGGCCCTCTTGGGCGCCTATTGGGCCATCTTGGAGCGATCTTGGGGGCCGCTTTGGCCGTCTAGAGCGCTCTGGAGACCGAGAAGAGTATGCGAAAATGGCACTGAGATCCGAGGAGCACAAGTAAGTGTTGCCTCCCTGGGGCCTCTTGGGAGTCGTCTTCGCACCCATTTTGGCCATCTGGGGAGCCCGTTGGGCCGTCGAGGGCTCGGCCGACGACGCCGACGTTAACCGCCGTCGGCTCCTGGCGACGAAGCCGCCCGCCGTTCGACGACGACGCCGCCGATCGGAGACGGCGGCGGTCGGCCGCCGCGCCGGGCGCCCCCGCCGCGCGCAGGCGCTCCTCGGGGCGCTCCCCGCGCAAGGGCGCCCGGCGCCGGCGGGCGGCCGCCGCGACCGCGAGGAGCGGCGCGGCGTCCAGCGGCACCCCGGCGCTCCTCCTCGTCATCATCATCCTCCGCCTCCTCCGATTCCTTCTTCGCCTCCTCCTCCTATTCCTCCTCCTCCTCCTCCTCTTCCTCCTCCTTCTTATCCTTCTCCCCTTCCTCCATCTCCTCCTCTCCTCCTTCCTCCTCCTCCTCCTCATCCTCCTTCTCCTCATATTGGTCCTCCTCTTCCTCCTCCTCCTCCACTTCCTCCTCCACCTTTCCTTCCTCCTGTTCCTCCTCCTCCTCCTCTTCGTCCTCGTCCTCATCCCTCCCCCTTCTCCTCCTCCTCCTCCCTCCTCCTCCTCCTCCTCCTCCTCCTCCTCATCATCATCATCATCATCCCTCCTCCTCCTCCTCCTCCTCCTCCTCCTCCTCCTCCTCCTTCTTTTCCTTTTCCTCCTATTCACTCTCCTCCTCCTTCTCGTATTCCTCCTCCACCTGATCCTCATCCGCCTCTTTCTCCTCCTCCTCCTCCTCCGCCTCCTTCTGCTCCTCCTCCAATTCCTCCTCCTCCGCCTCCTCATCATATTCCCCCCCTCCTCATCCTGCTCCTCCTCCTCCTCATCCTCATCCTCCACTTTCTGTTTTTTTGCTTTTCATCCTCCTTCCCTTCCCTTCCTCCTCCTCCTCCTCCTTTTCCTTCTCTTCCTCTTCCTCCTCCTCCTCAAGGTCCTCCTCCTTCTCCTCCTCCTCCCCTCCGCATCATCATCCTCGTCCGCGTCCACCTCCGCCTCCCTCCTCCTCCTCGTCTCTTCCTCCTCCTTTTCCTCCTCCTCCCTCTTCTCCTCCTCCTTCTCCTCCTCCACCTCCTCCTCGTCCTCCTCCTCCTTGTCCTTCTCTTCCTCTTCCTCCTCATCCCCTCCTCTTCTCCCTCCTCAAGGTCCTCCTCCTCCCCCTCCTTCTCCTCCACCTTCTCCTCCTTATGTTTATCCTCCTCCTATTCATCCTCCTCCTCCTCCTCCTCCTCTCCTCCTCCTCCTCTTCCTCCTCCTCCTCCTCCTCCTCCTCCTCCTCTTGCTCATCCTTCACTTCCTTCTCCTCCTTGTTCCCCTGTTATCATATGCCTGCTATTCGTCCTCCTCCTCCTCTTCCTCCTCTTCCTCCTCCTTATCATCCTCTTCCTCCTCCTTATCATCCTTCTCTTCCTCCTCCTCCTCATCTTCCTCCTACTCCTTTTCCTCCCATTCCTCCTTTGCGCCTTCTCCTCCATATCATCATCAGCATACCCATCATCATCAGCATCGTCAGCATCATCAGCATCATCATCAGCATCATCCATCATCGGCATCATCATCATCAGCCTCATCATCATCATCATCACCATCATCATCATTATCAGCATCATCAACATCATCAACATCATCAACATCAACATCAGCATCATTAGCATCATCATTATTTTTCTCCGTATCCTTGCTCCTCCTCATCATCATTATCCTCGATCCTCTTCCTCATCCTTGTCCTCCCATTGCTTTTCCTCCTACTCATCATCATCATCCTTCTCCTCAGATTCTTCCTCCTCCTTCGCAATCCTCTTCCTCCTTCTCCTCATCCTCCTCCTTCTATTCCTCCTCCTCCTCGTGCGATTCAAGGATTGGTCCCTTTAGCTTGTCATCGCTCGGGCGTTTGTCTTTCTTCTCTGCCAGAACCTCCATTGGCCCTGGAAACGACAGGGCCGTTTTTGTTACCCGTTCCGTTTCGTCGTGTTTTTACCGGTTCCGTGTCCGTTTTCGTTGCCCGTTCTGTTGCCGTTGTTTTCAGGATGGATGCATGGTCGACAATGGTGAAACATTGGCCTTGCCGTTTCCGTGGCCCACTAAGGCCCCGTGGTTTGGCATCGCTCGGACGTGTGTGTTTTTCTGCCCGGCCAGGACCACGGAGGAGGCTCCAGGATCAGCTTACATCGGGGGCGGCAAAGAGGGGGGTGATGACTAGGGGGGGGGGGTGGATATCATGACGTGGGCCATGATATTTCCCCATATGTCATGGCGCCTCTTCTTGTTTCATTACGTCCCTGGCCCCCTCGCTGGGCCGCGCACATGCCGCCGGTCATGATTTGCACCCCCCCCTCTTGGACGCCCCCCTCTTGGCCGCTCCCAGTTACAGGGAACAACGCGCACACGAGATCGAGAGATGCACGCGGAGTGGGCGCCCGAGCGATGGGCAAGGTGGGGCGGGGGCCCGAGGATAGCACAGGGCTCACTTCGAATCCTCCGATGTCATTGGACTCGATTCGATTCCGATGGCTCCCGATTCCGGTTCGATTCGGCTTCGGATTCCAATGCGGGTTCGGATTTTTCATATGGAAGCCCACCGGCCCCCCGAGGTCCGCCGATTCGACTTCTGTCGACCCGGCTGCGGATCCTCGCCGATCCTATTCATGTCGATCGCCGCTCCGACTCGCCGATTCGATCTTGGGCCTCCCTGATAGGAAGGGAACCAAGGACCGAGTTGCGCTGTTGGAGGCACCTCGTCGTCCTCAGGGCCCTGTCCCTCCGGACCCCGCCTTCGAGCCACCGTGCGAGGGGGGTGCGCATGGCAAGGCTTCGGGCTGCGCGCAGGGAGCACTCCCCAGGAAGCGCCGGCTGGCCTCAGCAGGCCCCCCGAGCAGCCCCAGCTGGCCTCAACCCGGGGGCGGCCAAGGGTGGGGTGATGATTATATATGGGACCGGGGCTCTATACAACGACGTTTTCTACGACCCGGCACTGCTATTCCCACAAGAGAGCGGATCCTGGTGTATACGGGATCTTGGTGTATATCTTTGTCGTGGTCTCCTCGGGAAAATGGGGAAAATAGTATACACCACACAACTCCGACGTCGTCCCCGACCCTCAAAAAGTTCTGGGATTGAAAGACGGCCCGCCACTGGTAATGTGTACGTTCCAGTTTCCGAGCTTTGCGGGGGTATATCATGGCGGGAGCCGTGAGATCTCCCAGATTTCATGGCGCCTCTGCCTGTTTCAATGCGTCCTTGGCTCCCCTCCCTCTTGGGCCGCGCACATGTCGCCAGCCATGATTTACGCCCCCATCCCCCCCCATCTTTGACGCCCCCCTCTTGGCCGCCCCCGACAACAAGCCCCCCCGAGAAGTCCAGGGCGGTCTCAACACCTCAACCCTGGTGCGCAGAGCGCCCCAGGAGAGCCGCCGGCGGCGGCGCCAGGGTGTCGAGACCGTCCGGGACTGCTCGGATGGTCTGTTGAGGCCGGCTGTGGCTACGCGGTGTAGGGCGACGAGATCTATGCGTAAGTCGGGCGTGTGCGTCTACAGAAGGAGTATTCAAAACTAGTCAAACAGTAACATGGGGACGATCTTTCCGGTATGTGTGATCCTTTTGGGGTATTTTGTGTTTTTGTTTCTTTGTTTGATTTTTCCTCCGAAACACCGCTTGTACACTCGGGGCCCTGAAGAAGGAACGCCTTTCGTTGGGGAGGGGCTCGGTGTTCCTTTATTGTTTCACAGTTTGCCTCGGGGTTCCCTTAGGTTATTGTATGGGAAATCGAAGTTTAACTTATGGAAAAGAGGGGCCTCGTTCCTTATTTAGGGTTCCTTAGGTCAACGCCCCGACTGTAGGGGGACATGCCCGACCTACATCTGTGCAGATCCACCGCCGCTGGCCAGGCCGTGGTCGTGTTGATCGTTGTTGGTATTGTCGCAACCGTCGTCGTAATCGTCGTGGTCGTCGTATTCGTCTTGGTCGCAGTAATCGTCGTCGTCGGTGTGTGGTCGTCGTTGTGACCGCGGTTGTGAACATCGTAGTCGTCGTAATCTTCGTAATCGTCACGATCGTCGTCGTCGTCGTCATCGCGATCGTCTCGTAGCAGTGCTCGTAAGTTCAGTTGCCGGGGTGCCGACAGAAGTGTAGTCGTGATCTCGCTGTTGTTCACCCGTATAGTTCAGGAGGGGAGAAAACACACAGACACAATTAATCGTCGATCCCCAGGAAAATATACGAACATATGGGAAGTGGGGGGGAAGACAAAAACCCTGAAAATATGGGAAAACATGGGGAACATTTTCATTTGTGTGTATTTATCTGTGTGTTCTGGGGCCCCTTTAATAGTGCGTGCTTGCAGGCACCATTGCTGCCCACCTCTTCCTGCGGCCCGAGGGGCGCCCAGACGCCTCGCAGAGCCCATTTATACAACAGAACTGCAATCAACGCAGGGGTTGTGGTGTCCTCCCTGCTCCTCCCCCTCCTCCTCCTCCTCCTCCTCCTCCCCCTCCTCCTCCTCCTCCTCCTCCTCCTGCTCCTCCTCCTCCTCCTCCTCTTCCTCCTCCTCCTCCCCGCAGACTTTGTCTTTGCAGACTTTGTCTTGGCATCGCTCGGGCGTGTGCATTGTTTCTCGGCGAGAGCCATTGAGGACCATCCTGGACCGTCGAGCAACAAAAACCACGCACGAAACCGAAGAATGCACGGGAAATGGACGTCCGAGCGACGGCGAGGTTCAAGCGGTGTGGTGCGTGCGTGCAGCATGCATCGGGACAGGCAGAGTGGTGCAGAGTTGAGACATGTTTTCGTGTTGCGTGTTGGTTCTTGGGACAGTAGAAGCAGACTAGCTCCCTTTGTTCTGCAATGTAAATGCAGCGCAGTGGCAGCAGACACCAGCACATAATGATGCTCGAAGGTGGTACTGAGGGGAAAAACATTGTGGCGTGGCGCACGTATGCGCTGCGCAGTACATCAGCGATGTGGTTGGTGCAAGTGGCTGCGGCGGCGCACACGTGCGCTGCGCACTGCGATGCGAGCTGTGGTGCGAACGCTGCAGTGGTGCCGGAGCCACGCGCTGGGGGGGGGAGGGGGCGTTGCGTTGTGCCCACCCCTGAGCACTCCCAGTGTGGCCACGAATGATGAGCGAATGCGCTCACCCCGTCGGGCTGCGGGCAGGAAGCTCAAAAAACAGGAAAACAGACACGCCAGTCGTTGACAGTAAGTTTTTTGGATCCCGTGATCCCAATCTTTTGTGGCAGCCTTCCGACTTCAAGGGTCGAGCGGTGTGCCTTATATCTTTCCTCTTCGGGGGGCGGGCGGAAGCCGAGTCTACTTCCAGTGCCTTCCTACTTTATGATTCTGCAACTTTTTTTCGGGCGTGGCCCGAATTTGTTTCTCGGGGGGTAAACTAGATTGAACTGAACTGAACTGAACTGAACTGAACTGAACTGACTGGTCGCACCCGTTGCGCGACGGTTTCATTCTCGGCCGCCGAGAACGAAATGTATGGCGCAACCGATAGGATGCGGTTTTATTCTCGGCCTCCGAGGTCGCGATTCATGGCGCAACCGATAGGAGATGTTTTTTCTTCGGCCGCCGAGGGCGCAACCTATGGCGCAACCGGTAGGAGACGGTTTCATCTTTGGCGCAACCGATCGGAAACGTTTTGTTTATTCGGCCGCCGAGGGCGCAATTTATTGCGCAACCGATATGAGACGGCTTTATGGTTGGCCGCCAGGGACGCAACCGATCGGAGACGGTTTCATTCTCGGCCGCTGAGGGCGCAACCTGTGGCGCAACCGATATGAAACATGTTAATTCTTGTCCACAGAGGGCGCTATTTTTAGCGCAATCGCTGAGAGACGGTTTTCTTCTCAGCCGCGGAGGGCGCACCCTGTGGCGCAATTGATAGGAGACAGTTGTACGTTCGGCCGCCGAGGGCGCAACCTATGGCGCAACCGATAGGAGACGGTTTCATCTTCGGCCGCCGAGGGCGCAATTCACGGCGCAACCGATCGGAACCGGTTTTTTTCTCGGCCGCCGAGGGCGCACCCTGTGGCGCAATTGATAGGAGACGGTTGTACGTTCGGCCGCCGAGGGCGCAACTTATGGCGCAACCGATGCGAGACGGTTTCATTTTCGGCCGCCGAGGGCGCAATTCACGGCGCAACCGATAGGAGACGGTTTTATGTTCAGCCGCCCAGGGCGCAACCTATGGCGCAACCGATCGGAGACGGTTTTATTCTCGACCGCCGAGGGCTCAATCTATAGCGCAACCGATAGCAGACGGTTTCTACCCTCAGCCGCCGAGGGCGCAACTTATGGCGCAATTGATAGAGGACGGTTTTATTCTCGGCCGCCGAGGGCGAATCCCATGGCGCAATTGTTAGGGGACGGTTTTATTCTCGGTTGCCGAGGTGCCAGGAGAAAGAGGATGAGCAGGAGGAGGAAGAGGAGAATTGAGGACGAGGTCCTAGACGAGGACGACGAGGAGGAGCTGAAGCAGGAGGATTAGGAGGACAAGGAGGACGAGAACGACGACGATCAGGATGGGGAGGATGACGGGGAGGAATACAAGCAGCACGAGGACGAAATGTGGGCATTCGAATGCGTGCGGGGCTGCGCCCGATTTGTGCCCGCCGATTCCGACCGACGGGTACTGCTCCCTTCATCACCACGGCTGGACTCGCTTTGAAATTCTGGTCAGGACGCACCGCTGGAGGCGTCCAGGAGGTGGGGCAAGGGTCTGTCTTCTGCTCTCGTGCCTTTGTCTGCTGTCGTTTTGCCTCGGGGGTGCTTTCCAGCAGCCGCGCCTTGTCGAGTGCTTTCCAGGGGGCCCGCATCGTCCCCAACGGTGGTCGCAGGTCGCAGCCCCGAGTTATGACCCCAAAGCCACCAGGTGTCGGGTTATGACCCGGGCCTCCAGACGGTGTAGAGACCACGCCGTGTGGTGAGTCAGCGTTGTGGAGGACGATCGATGGAGAGGGAACATGTTGTCAAACAATTTCCAGTTGATTTAAAACTGTTTTAAACATCAGTTGAACATTTTTCAAACAGTTTAAACACATGTTTAATTGAATGATCGGAGTGTTAGGGTGTCAGTTGTCATGGCATCCGCAAAGTCAGTGCGGGCTCGAGGTGGCCGCACGGTTTTGGAACCTCCGACTGAGGCCGTTGAGGCGCCCGAGGGTCCCAAAAGCCGTGCGGTGACGGACCGAGCGGCGAGGCCTTGCGGGACGTCGAGGTCACCGCGCGGTCCGTCACCGCGCCGTGCGGGGACCCCCGGAGGAGTTCGGGGGCGGTCCAGGGTCCACGGAGGGGGCGAGGACCAGTCAGGGACACCGCTAAGGGACAGGCTCGAGAGGGGGGGCGCATCGACCACCAATCGCCCGTCCATCGCCGACTCGGGCCTGATGGCCCACCCCGCCCACGAACGTGCGGTTGCGGCCTCCTCGTTGATGTATGATGCGTTCCAGATAAGGCCCCGCCTTCGCGGGTCGAAGGGGTTGGCCTCGGGGAAGGCGGCGGAAGGGCGGCGGAAACCCGCGGAAGTAAATTGATGTTGTTTCCGCCGGCGGAAGCTGGCGGAAGGTAGGCTGAAGCCGGAAGACGTAATCGATGCGCCCCCAATGGATTGCAACATTTGCGGGTTCAGGGTTTCCGGAATCGGCCATATCTCGCCGAGCGCGTTCCGTTGTTCGCAAAGTTCTTTTTCGCAGACGTCCTAAAAGACAGGTCGTCCTTCCGTGTAGTGGATCGCAGATCCCGCGCGGCGGGTCCAGGCCAATGGTGAGTATTTTTTTCTGCGAATAGTGGAGCGCGCTTGTCTGATATCGGCGCTCAAGCTCGACTTTCCCCCTAAGCGGGCGCCAATACAGCCGACGAAGGCAACAACCCTCCAAGAGGCCTCCCAAAAGGGCCCCAGGAGGCAAAATGCAATGAGTTTCCCGAGGTTTATGCTTGACTCTAGCGTTTCTGTATTTTCAGCCTCCAGACGCCCCAACACGGTCCTAGACGCCCCAAGTATCGCCCCAGCACGGCCTCAGAGGTCCCCGCGAGTTGGTGACCCGGGTTGCACCTCGGGTCAGAGCGGCGCGGCGGGAGCGCCAAGGTTGGGGTCATCGCGCCGCCGGCAGCGCAGGGACGCAAAGGTGGGGGCCCTTTTGGAACCATACAAACACACACTCACACAGACACACACACACACACACACACACACTCCCTCCTTGGAAGGGCGAGGGCCCAGGAGGGGATAACATACACAGACACAGTCAATCGTCGACCCCCAGGAAAACATGGAAACATATGGGAAGTGGTGGGGGGAGAAGACGCACACCCAGAACCTACGGGAAAGTGTTGGGAATATTGGAATTCGTGTCTACTAATATTTGTACCCCTGGGCCCTTCGAGGGGGAGGCGACGGGCAGGGGCTCGGTGCGCAACCCTACGACGGGGCGCGCAGACAATCGCGCATCGCGGCTCCGGCGGGAGAGGCGCCCTTCTCCGGGGCGGCGGCGCGAGGTCGCCAAGAGGACCGCGCATCGCTGGGCGCGATGTGCGAAGTGAGGTGACCGAGAGAGGGAATCACGATGGGCCTGTCTTCCACCACCACCACCAGAAGTTTGAGGGGGGAAGGAGGTGGAGGACGAGGAGGAAGCGGAGGACAAAGAGGAGGAGGAGGCGGTGGAGGAGGAGGAGGAGGAGGAGGAAGAGGAGGAGGAGAAGGAGGAGGAGGAGGAGGAGGAGGACCCCCTCCCCCTCCAACTTATGGTGGTGGTGGTGGTGGAAGCGATATCCCCCGCAGATGCCCGCAAGAGTTCTGCATTCGACGGGCGCCCACGGGCATCCGAACTGCTTTGGGCTGGTGGGGGAGTTGCGTCGGTGCTGTTCCCCCCAGGTGCCCGTGTGGGTCGTGAACCTCGACAAGAGCACGGACCGCTGGGAGAGCTGCCTGAGGCGGGAGCCTTGAGGAGTAGGAGGAGGAGGAGGAGGAGGAGGAGGAGGTCAAGAGAGCGAGGAGGAGGACCACAGTGAATATTGGATGAGGCAGCGATGCTGCAATATACCTTCCCCTCTCCCGTCCTAAGTCCCCTCGCCATGGGGGTCAATAAGCCTTCCTGCTCACCAGAGGAAGCGCCCCCCTTGAAAAAGACGCGCACGCTGTGGGCTTGGCATTCTTCAGGCGAGAGCCCCACTTTGAACTGCCCTGGACCCTTCTAGCGAGTTATAAGGAATTCGAGCAGCCAGCAACCACAACGTCCAGCTAGGTCTCCATCGAGAGCTTCCCTGTGGTGAAGAGGTGCCAGCCCCCGCCCGTGCAGCTGTTGCACTGAACTGCAGCCTGGTCCTTCCACGCGAGGCATGCCCGCGCGAGCCCCGTTTCGAAACGGAACCAGCCTCCGCCCGTGCCAGCGGTTGCAAGCTTCGAGTTTTCCAGATCTGGGGACGTCTCGAGCGTCCTTCGTCCTTTTATGTTGCGACCTTTGAAAAGTTCGAGTGTGCGCGTCGCTGAAGCGAGAGCCCTCGTTTGAAGAGGGCCCGCCGTCCGTCAGTGTACTTGCCGCAGCGTGGCAAACCGAATTCGCGCGGCGCTGAGGCGAGGGCCCTTTTTTGAAATCGGAGCGGCCTCCACCCTTGAAGTTGCTGCAGATTGAACGGCGAACGTGCTCGCCGCTACAGCGATAATCTCATTGCGGTCATAACCCGCGTGCACCTGTGAAGCAAGTGTAAAGTGTGAAGCAGTTGCACGAATGTGCGTGGCGCTGAGGCGAGAGCCGCATTTCGAAAACGACCCGCCCACCATCCTTCAAGAGTTGCAAGCGTTGAAAACGAACGTGCGCGGCACTCAGGCAAGAGCCTCAGTTTGAAGAAGATTGGCCTCTGCTCGAATGCTTCACTGATTCCTATATCGTGTTGCAAGTCAACTTGAGCGAAGCGCCCGGCCCGGCCTGCAGATTGTGTGGGCATAGGCGGCACGATTCATCAGCAACAGGGGTGGGGCACGAGGAAGAGGCGGAGGAGGAGGTCCCAAGTCCCGTCACCATGCGTCCATGCACGTGCCCATCGGCCGTTGAAGGTAGGCATCTCTGCATGTCCCAGGTTCCAGTTTGCGTCAGGCGCCTCCCTGCTTCAGTCATCGAGTGGCTTCCCCTTTCTCGTCCTCTTCAGGGGGCGGGCGGAAACCCAGTCTACTTCCAACGCCCTCCTATGTCGTGTTTCTACCTCCTTCCGACCGATGGAATATTGCAGCATCGTGGATGCATCCTGGATTTGCCCTGGTCCTTCTCCTCCTCCTGCTGCCCCTCCTCCTCGCCCTCCTCGCCCCTGCCTTCCCGTCCTCGGTGGTCGAGCTGTGGCCTTGTTGTTTCGGGGAGTGAGGAGGGTTGCCGCCTTGTTCGAGCTCCGTCGGGTCAGGGGAATGAGCTCCTGGTCTGCGCCTGATGTGGCGAGCGCAGGGGAGACCGTGTCCGAGTTAGCTAGTCTCAGTCTCAGCCCCCTCCCCCCCTTCTCCCCGCGCTCGCTCCTCCACCCTCCTTCCTCCCCTTCCCCCTTCTCCCCTCGCTCGCCCCTCGCGCGCCCCCCGTCCTCGGTGGTCGAGCTGTGACCTTGTTCTTCCGACCGATGGGTCACATCCTTCCCTCTGGGGGAAGCACCCGCCTTGGATGAGGATCATCCCGGTGGGCCTGCCTCTAAGGCGAGTCCCCGTCCTGTGCAGGACCCACCATCCCCTAAAATTGAAAGATTTGGCGAACGTGTCCCGCCGACTCTGGCGGCCAGCTGGGCTCCCAGGATCCCGGTTCTGGGTTCCCGGGCTTCTGGTTATTGGTTCCGGGCCGATTCTGGTGGGTTTCTGGTTCCCGGGTTCCCGGTCGGTCTCCTTATCGATCGAACCATCCTCTGATTGGGGCGTCTCTCTGGTGTAATCCATTCTTCTGGCTGTAAGAAATGCATTGATGTACGACAGGTTCGCGTCGCGTCGACCGGCGGCGACCCCCGCCGCGGCGACGCCACCAGTGGCCCAGAATCGGCCCTATATGGAACGATCTGGCGATCGAAACGCGGCCGATCGTTCAAAGTTGAACGATCCAGCGCTTCAACGCCGGGGTCGGCACGGCGGGAACCTGCCTTAGTGTAAGACACGCATCGATGTACGACGCTGAAGGAAATGACATGTCCAGCGAAAGCTTCATATCTCTGAACAGGATCTACGCTCCATCCGCTGTAGCGGTCCGCGTCTCTCGTTCTGGTCAGAAAATTTGGCGGGCGATCCACGCTCCATCCGCTGCAGCGCTCCACGTCTCCAGATCTGGTCAGAAGATCTGCGGGCGTCTCAAGAGAGAGGCGCGTTTTGAAAAGACGCCGCTCTTCATTCTTGCAACTGTTGAACACTTTGGCATTTCGGGTCACTGAAGGTGGCGGGAGCCCATTATGAAAACGAACGGCCCTCCATTCTTGAAGTTGCAGCAATGTTTGAAGACGAATGTGCGTGGCGCTGGAGCGAAAGCTGCATTGTGAAAACCACCCGCCCCTCGCTATCCGTAACCTTTGCACGTGTTCAGGACGAGTGTGCGCGGCGCGATGGCTACAGCCACGTTTTGAAAACGACTGGTCCTGCACCCGTGTGGCGGTGTGAGTTGATCAGGGTCGGGACAGTAGGGCGCACGGAAGTCTCAAGCGAAACGCCCCCCCGGGCAAACGGGCACGTCCGGTGGTGCGACAGGGAGGGTTGTTTGTAAGAGTCGACTGCGCGTAAGAGGGACCCTTCGCCGGAGTGGCCTTTGGTGCGGGCCCATTGGGGCCCCCCGATCGTCAAGCGCACGTTGCTGTAGGAGCGTCTTGCGCGCTCGTGTGTGGTCCTCCCGCGGCCCCCCAGAAGTTGCGCACCAAATGCCACTCTCACCCAGGGTCACCCTTGCCTGTAGTCGACAGAAGTGGGGGCGGAGGATGGAGGAGGAGGAAGATGGAGTTAGATGGCGAGAGCGGCGGAAGGGGCGGGGGGGGCCCTGCCACGTCTCAGAGGGGGCTCCTGGACCGGGGCCTGACCACGGTGGAGCGGTTCTCGGCCACGTACGGCAAGGAGCTCCCCCGGGACGAGCTGCGGAGGCTGTCCACGTGGTACGCGAGGTTGTTCTGCACGCCAGGCGCGGCGGCACGACGATGAGGACAAGGGTGGCGACGGAGGCGACGGCAGCGGCAGCGGCGACGGCGGCGGAAGGAGAGCACCGCTGCGCCACGGGGGATGAATTGGGGAGGCTCGGAGTTCCAGGGTGTGACACCAACGCCATCATTGGCGGAGTGCCTACACCGAGGGAAGAGGATCCCGATCACGGGGATGGTGAATGCTTGGGACTCGTAGGTAGCCCAGAAATTACCACCAGCACAAATCGAAGATCATTATTCGGATAGGGGATCGACTACATAATTGGTTCATTAGTTTGCTGCCTTTTCCCGCCGAGTGTGCAAGACACGCGCATAAGGTGTGTAGATCTATTAAACATGATACGCATGTATCGTAGATTCTGCGAGAAAACCACATTCGGGTCAAATCAATTCTGTAGTCGCTACCCGACTCTTTTTCTACCCCCGTGGAGAGTTCCTTGGGTCAGCCTTGGTGCAAACGTGCAGGCCTCTTATACAGGAGTGGTAGACTTCGATTCGAGCTGACCCGTTTTGGTCTGGGCGGTCCTACGAGCGTTGGCAGGTGGCGCAATGCCCGCGACCAGCTGGAGGACGAGGAGGGGGCTGGTGGAGGAGAGGAGGTCGGGGAGCGATCGTGGGAGGAGGAGCAGGGAAGGTCGGGGAGAAGCAGGGAGAGAGGGAGGGGAGGAGGAGGAGGAGGAGGAGGAGGAGGAGGAGGAGGAGGAGGAGGAGGAGCAGCAAGGGGAGGAGGAGGAGCAGGAGGAGGAAATGGAGGAGGAAGGGGAGGGGGAGGTGGTGAAGGAGGAGGTGGTGGGGGAGGGGGAGAAGGAGCTGCAGAAGCCACTGGGACCCAGGAGATTGGGGGCCTGTGATATTGGGCGTCTCGCTCCTGGCAGGACCTTTGGTTCTGGTGGCTAGAGTGAACCTGACCGAAGCGTATTCCTAACCGCTTTGGCGCTCCCAGCGGCCAGGGGTCAACACCAGGTGGCCGCACATGATTCGTCGCAGCGACAGCCTGAAGAAAAGATGCCGCGGCAACACCGTTGGGTCTGCCCGTGCGGACGTCACGCCAAGATCCAAGAGGGGAAAAGCACACAGGCACAATCATCGTCGATTCCCTTGAACTTTTGGGAGCATATGGGGAGCTGGGGTGGCGACGAACGCCAAACACAGATGGGAAAGTATGGGACATCCTGTGTGTCTATGTATGTGTGTGTCCCTGGGTCCCTTCAAAGACGCATCACGGGGCCAGCATGTACGGTCTGTACGGTCTGTACTTCGACCAGCATATCCAGCGAGGCCAGCCCAGCCAGTTCTCAAACGCCGACAGGTCTATGGTGATGGCGAGGGGGCAGCACCAGAGGCCGTCAGAGTTACAAGCGGAGCAGCCGATACGCCGCAGCTCGTGTCGGCCGAACCGAACGGAGCAACCAAAGCCAACATGCACGTGACGAGGATTGGCCCCGTGGTGGGGATCAAGGCTAGGGGCCACGAGCGTTTCAGGAGCCCCAGAAGGGGGGATGCGGTGAGCTTGAAGGAGTACCAGGACGAGGTGCGCTCAATGCCCGCGAAGCTCGCGAAGCTGGCGATTGCGGCGCGGCGTGCTTCAGAGCCAGAAGACGCAGTCATATACGACCTGAGGCTGAGCGTGTTGAAGTGCATGGTGGGCATGACGAGGCCGACCGAGAACCAAATCGCCGAAATGAGGGCGAACAAGAACAAGGCCATGGAACGTGCGCGGACCACCACGGCCAATATCGCGATGCACCCGCACCAGGAGGCGGAGGAATGGGAGGGGATCGACAATTTGTGCGACTACATCGCGGCGTTGGACGGCACCGTCTGGAGGAGGCGAAGGACGACAACGTGGGCGACCAACCGCAGCCTGGCGCCCGCGGGTGCCAGCAGCAGCAGCGCGTGCGTGGTGGTGCGCCGCCGCCGCTGGCTGCGCAGCCCCAGCGAGCGGCATGCCAAATGGCGGTGATGGCGGCGGCGAAGCAGCATATGAGGAACCGTGCCGAGTAGCAGGGCAGGAACATGGTGATGATGGTGGTGATGGTGATGATGATGGTGGTGATGATGATGTTGTTGCTGCTGTTGCGGATGATGATGATGATGATGATGATGATGATGCTGATGGTGATGATGATGATGATGATGATGATGATGATGATGTTGATGATGATGATGATGATGATGATGAGGATGAGGATGAGGATGATGACGATGATGATGATGCTGATGCTGATGCTGCTGATGATGATGATGATGATGATGATGATGATGATGATGATGATGATGATGATGATGCCGGCCATGCGCATGGAGTCTCATCCAGCGCAGCAGGCAGCTGGATCCTTTCCGCAGCTGCCACAGCCATCCACACTAAGGCAACCTTGGCAATCTGGGGCTAGATGGATCCCCTCGCCGCACACACCAGTGGATGCTAGTGGGCTGAGGTTGTTGGATGCAGTGCCTGTGCCGCCGCCCCCAACGCCGCCAGCAGGACAGCCGTCGCATGCGACGCCAGCGTGGGGGGGGGGGGGGGGGGGGGGCGATTCCAGCAGCGCCAGCGACGCCAAGGGTGACCCCAAGGGCGCGGCCGCCGTAAAAGGGCACCCGTCAAGACTCCGACGGCGGAGGGTGGCTCTTTTACAATGCCAGTGGGACCGCCAGCACACGAGACCCCAGCGCTTGCGCTGCCGAGTCCCATCACCCAGACGCAGAGGTCGCAGTCGACGCAGGAGGAGGCCCCGCTCATGGTGCTGCCGATGCAGAGCGTCACGGAGGAGCGCCCGCCCGAGCCCCAGGTCCAGGCCCAGCACGAGGTCATGAAGATAAGCAAGACGTGCGCGCGAAAGCCGAGGCCGACCAGGACAGGGGGCCCAGGCCCCCCTGGAGGAAGGAGCTGAGGGCGGCCACTGCTTCAGGAGCGAACGCTAGCATGGCCGCGGCGGAGGTAGCCAAGGCGCCGCAGCATCGGGAGGCGGGTGACATGGGCTGAACCTGGTCGAGTTTGCAGACCATGAGTCCCGCGACGACGGGCCAGGACTGGTCGTGGGAAGTGCTGCCAGAGATGGACCTCCGGCGGACCGCAGGAATGGTGATGCGCGTGATCGTTCGCACCTGCCGCGCTGCCCATCTAGTTGCCATCGCAGCGGGCATCTGCACTGCCCCGTTCCTGCGTGTATCCCCGCAAAGACAGGCTGACGGCGGGATCGGGGGACTTTACGCCTGCTCACTTATGCTTGCCCGAGTTTCCTTGGACCCAGCGAGGGTCCGCCGTGCCCTCCAGATTCTGGTCGCCGAGTGGGGGGGGGGTGCACGACGGCTCCGTTTGAGGATTGGTGGGTTGATGGGTCGGGGTGGGGGGCTGGTGGGCGGGCGGGCCGACTTCCGTTTTCGTTTTCCCATCAACGGCAAGGGGGATCTGCCTGTGCGCGCCTCTCCCCGCAAAGGCGGGCCCCGCCGCCGCGCGCGCGGGGCCCTTCTGCGCGCGCCCAGCCGCGGCCGAGTGCTTCGAGCTTCTCCGAACCCAGCTGGGGCCCACCGAACCCGCCAGATTGCGGCCGCCAAGAGCGGGCGCGGCATGCCGGCCCCGCCGGAGCATTGGCGGGCGGAGCGGAGGGGCGGCGGGCGGATTGCTCGGCTTGTGGATTCGGCGGCAAGGGCAGCCGCGCTGGCCCCGTCTCCTCGCGCGAGCAGCCGCGCTCGGACGATCTGGCTCGTGATCGCAGACCCCGGCAGCCCGTGCGCCCCCGCGGCCCCGGGGCCCAGCGGGCCCCGCGGGCCCCCGCTGCACCTTGGAGAAGTTGTCCGCCGAGAGAGGGGCGCTGCAGCGGCCGCGCTGGAGGAGGTGCCGAGGGGGCATTGGGAGAGGGGGAGCGAGTTCGTCAACCACGTGGCCCGCGCGGTGACCAGCGTCGCCGCGGGCCTTGGCCACCCCGCCCTGCCTGGGCCATGCGCCGTTCGTTTTTCTGGTTTTTATTCGACGCGCTATAGGGCAGCTAGCCCGAGCAACAGCCACCGAGGGCGGTCCGTCAGTTTCAGGCGGCTGGACCACTTGCAACGTTCGCGGCGTCGCCCCCGGCAGCTCCGAGGCGAGGAAGACCGCGCCGCGCGCGCGCCGCCTCTCGCGGCTCGGCGGGGAGCGGCGCAGGGTGGGGGGCGGGGGGGGGGGGGGGCGCCGAGCAGCGCGCGCGCGGGGGCCCGCCTTGGTGTCCGCGCGCGCCCAGCCGCGCAGTCTGCCCGCCCCAGCCCGCGCCGCCCGCTGGGGGGCGGCCCCGGCCCGGCAGCCTTTAGAAGCACTCGGAGTTTACGAGACGGGGGTCAATGCAAATGGGGGTCAGCCAGGGCGCTGGGTCCTACAGGATCCTGCGAAGACCCTCTCAATCAGACCCGGGTCAGCCAGATCTGGCTGGCCCGGGTTAGCGAGCCGCGAGGCGGCCGCGCATATTGGTTGGCCCGGGTTTGCGAAGCCCTGCGGTGCTGTTTGTTTTCCTTGCGTTGCAGTCTTTTGGTTTCTTGCTGGCCCGGGTTTGATTGACCCGGGTTAGGAGATCCCCGAAGCACGCGCTGCGTTTCCTATGTTCGACGCTCTGCAGAGCCAGGTGGAGCTGCGAGGGCGAGCCTGGGCCCATCTGTCATGATAGCGGGGGAGATGAAGGGGTCCTGCGATATGCAGTTAGTCCCGTCCTAGAGTTGCGCACGCGACCTGCCGAGGGATTCGCTGGAAGTTTGCAGGGCCATTGCGGGCGATGTCGCTGCGAGTGTCGACGCGGGGGCCTGCGCGGGGGGGGGGGGGTCCACGGGCGCGCGGCAGCAGCTTGCAGCTCGGCGATCAGAAGATTCGCAGTTCTCCAAACAGGCGACTCCGCCTTCGCTGCAGGCCAAGGGCAGAGAGACTCGACCGGCGGGGCCAGTTCGAGGATCTGGTGGCGACGCGGTCGCCAGGACTTGCGTGCGTCAGCTCGAATGGCACGGTGATCTCAGAGACCTAGCGCGCCTTTTTTGCAGCATGCCGCCCCAGGGGGGAGACGTAACATGCAGGTATCCGTTTGTTTCGCTGGGCCGAAGTTTGCGTCGAATTGCTGGGGCGCAGAGGTCGACCGCGCCATCGACGCCCTCCAGCGATGGCACGCCGCGGGCGCGAGGCGGGCCCTCTCCGCGTCGAAGGACGGGCGCCCCCCATTGGGCGGCGCGAAGATCATCGCCCCGTTGTCTGTCGACAGTGTCGTGAGTGAGCTGGACGAAGGATTGCAAAAAACGAAGGATTGCAAAAAAACGAAAGATTGCAATCCTTCGTACGAAGGTTGTTTTGCAATCCTTGGTTTTTTTTGCAATCCTTCGTGGAGGCCTCCGGGCTGGGCGTGCCCCGCGGGGGGGCCGTGCCGAGGGAGTCGCCCGCCGCCCGGCTGGCGCCGCAGCAAGTCGTTTCAAACAGGACGCCCTCGGCCCGCGCAAGCCCCAAACTTCGAGGCCGTCCATGCCACTGATCAGGCAGAGGAGACTCGCGCCCAGGGCCATGCGCGCCCCCTGGCGCAAGGCTTCCGAGACCGCCGCGGCTGGGGGGGGGAGGCCCTGGACAAAACCGTGCAGGGCCCGATGAGCGACGCGAGGGTGGCGGGGTAGATAGCAGGCACCGGGCGCGCGAGCTCTTGCCCCTCAGCGCGAGGGGGCGAGGTCATGTTCTTTGATTCGCCTTTTCTCTGGGGGGGAAGCAGCTTGATGTGCGGCATTGATTGGGGGTCAATGTTTGCTCGCGGTCTTCTTAGCAGTTCTGAGTGACATCCCTGGACGTGGCCAATGATTTGGACAGGTGGGACTTTGAGAAAAAAGGCGTTCATCTGTTGCAACAGCAGCAGGACTTGCATGACCAGGTGGAGCAGGAGGATGAGGGAGCAGAAGCGGTGCAGGAACGGGTTCAGGAGGGCGAGGAGGGCGAGGAGGAGGAGGAGGAGGAGGCGGAGGAACAACAACATGTGGATGCGGATGGGGCGGGGCTTGTCAACCGTCAGGCATGATCGGCTGTTTCATCAGCCACATGCGAGCGTGGCAGCGCGTCGTGGACGAGGACGGCCTGGCTGGAACCTTCCTTTTTGGCGGCCCCGCCCCGCGGAAAGCGCTCATTTCGCGAGGGTTTGATGCCACGTGTCTCCCCGTGTCCACGTGTGCGCTCTTGGCCCCGCCACCCCCCCACCACACTTCCACATGCACCCTCCCCCCATGTTGTCCGCTTATCCCCATCCTCACCTTGTTTTAACTCGTCTCGCCTCCTCCATAATTACCCCCCTCCCAGAAAACGGTGTTTCTCCCTTCTCCGGATGTCGAGGGCGCCCGCGTTGCCCCTTGCATTTTTGGGAATGCCGATGTGGCCAAACGTTGGGCCAAACTTTGTCCATTATTTTGGGTTATGTGAGTTCCCCCAGCCGCCCCCGAAGCCCTTGCGGGACCGCCTGGGCCCCGCGAGGACCTGCCCGCAGCCGTGGTGTTGGAGGACGACGCCAGGGTGTTCGAGGGCTTCAACGACAGGCTGGCCCAGCTGCTGGAGGCACGCGCACCGCCCACACACGCACACACACACACACACACACACACACACACACGCCCACACGCCCACACGCACACACGCACACACGCACACACACGCACACACACACACACACACACACGCACACACACACACACACACGCACACGCACACACACACACACACACACACTCACACGCACACACACACACGCACACACACACACACGCACACACACACAAACACTAACACTAACACTACCACTAACACACACACACACCCGTACAAGGGGGAGGGGGACGGAAGAGGAGGAGCAGGAAAAGGAGGAGGAGGAGGAACAGAACGAGGATGAGGAATAATGATGATGATGATGATGATGAGGAGGAGGAGGAGGAGGAGGAGGAGCAGGAGCAGGAGGAGGTTGAGGAGGAGGAGGAAGGGGGATGCGGATGGACGGTCTTGGACGTTTTTGGGGGCCTCAGATCTCCGGGGGCGAACACCCAGAAAGGGCAATCACGCCCAGAACTGTCGGCCCTCGACGCTCAACCGACAACGGCGGCGGCGAGAACGTCGGCAAAGGCAACGTCGTCTTCCTCCTCGTCCCCTTCCTCTTCCCCCTCCTCATTTTCCTCCTCCTCCTCCTCCTCTGCTTCCCCATCGATCTTCGACGACCGTGGCGGCGACGGTGATCGACGACGATCGACGACGACGTCGCGGCGACATCAGCGACGACACTGCCACGCGAGGAACTGCCAGAGGACTGGGACGTGTGCCTGTTGGGCGCGGTCGGCTGCATCAGCATAGACAGGCGCGGTCGATCGTCGCCGCGTACAGTAGATTCGCGTCGTGTCGACCGGCGGCGACCTCGCCGCCGCCGCTGAACGCTGGACGTTGCTGGCGACTCAGAATCGGTCGGTGTTGAACAATCTGACGTATCGAAAACGGCCGATCTTTTCAAGCTTGAACGATCCTCGCAGTGTCAGGAACCAACGCTGGGGTCGACACGACACGAACCTGCCGTACGTCGCCGGCCCTGAGACTATCGGTCGTCGTCGTCACCATCGTCGTTGCCGTCCCAACCGTTGCCGATCCCCGCCGCCGTCTTCGTCATCTTCGGTTCGTCATCTTCGGATCGACTGCCAGGAGTTGATCGGGGAAGCGAGACCGGACAGGATGGACTGTGGGAGGGGTCTGGTGTGGCCCACCATTGTTTCAGGCCAGCAGAATGGGGGGGGCAGGTTCGAGGTTCTGGGTTCGATTAGGTGTTGTCGCCTTTCTCTGCCTAAGTGGGCCGTTTTCGGGCCGTGGGACCGCCGAAAACGGATCCCGAGTGACAAATTGCGCCAGACGGACCTTGAAGGATGGGTCTGGGGACCAGTTATGACCCGATTTTGGCCGTCGCCGTCGGCTCCGAGATGCTCCCAAGGTCGCCGTTTCCGTCGCCGTCGCCGTCGCCGTCGCCGTCGCCTTCGTCGTCGTGGTCGTCGTCGTCGTCGTCGTCTTCGTCGTCGTCGTCGTCGTCATTCGATGCTCGAGGGCCGATGACAGAGACAGTTTTTTTTCGTGGTTGGCCGCCTTTGGTCCTCCTGAGACCTTTGGGGAGGAGAGACGGGCAGAGAAGAATAAGGAGGCGGGGGGAGGAGGAGGAGGAGGAGGAGTAGGAGGAGGAGAGGGGGGGGCAGGGGAGGGAGGAGGGAGGGAGGGAGGGAGGAGGAGGAGGAGGAGGAGGAGGAGGAGCAGGGAGGAGGAGGAGGAGGAGGAGCAGGAGCAGAGCAGCAGCAGGAGCAGCAGCAGCAGCAGCAGCAGCAGCGACAGGAGCAGGAGGAGGAGAGGGAGGAGGAGAGGGGAGGAGGAGGAGGTGGAGAAGGAGGAGGAGAGGGAAGAGGGAGGAGGAGGAGGGGAGGGGAGGAGGAGAGAGGAGGAGGAGGAGGAGGAGGAGGGAGGAGGAGGAGGAGCGGAGGAGAGAAGGAGCTCAGGAGCTCATGAGCAGGAGGAGTAGCAACAAGGGAGGAGCAGGGGAGACGGCATGGGAGAGAGGGGGGGGACACGGAGGAGATGGAAGGGATGCGGCGGCGGAGGATTGGGGGGGGAGCGGACAAGATAGGGGGAAAAGATGAGAGGAGGGAAGAGGAGGAGGAGGAGGAGAAGGAGAAGGAGAGGAGGAGGAGGAGGAGGAGGAGGAGGAGAGGAGCACAAGGAAGAGCACGACGAGAAGTAGGAGGAGGAGGAGGAGGAGGAGGAGGAAGAGGAGCACAAGGTGGAGGAGGAGGAGGAAGAGGAGCACGAGGAGGAGGGGGAGGAGGAGGAGGAGGAGGAGGAGGAGGAGGAGGAGGACGGAGGACGTGGAGGAGAAGGGTGGGGGGGATCAAGATGAATAGAAGAGGACAGGGGGAAACGGAGGAGGAGGACGACGACAACGCCCACGATCAGGGTACCGACGACGACGACGTCGACGGCGGCATCGACCGCTGCGACCAGTTGCGACATCTCCCCCTTTTCCCTGCTTCCCCTGCTCTCCATTCCTCCTCCTGCCCCCCTGCATCCCCTCACGCCCGTCTGCTCCTGCCTCCTCCCTTCTCCTGCGTCCACCCTCTCCTCCCCTTTGATCGTCACACGGAGTGCCGCAGTGCCGCGTCGGGCCGACCTCCGCCCCGACCGACGATGGCGCCGAGGAGGATCACCACCACGACGGCGTCGACGATGCCGGTGTGGCGGCGAGCAGTGGCAAGCGGCGGAGGCGGCGGCCCGCGCGGCATAGGCAGCCGTTGCCCTCGAAGCTGTACGCGGCCGCTTGTGGAGGGTGGCGGCGGTCGCCAGGGGCCACACGCAGCGTCTCGGAGCACCTGTATATCCAGGGAGCCTGAGGGTAAGTTGCGCTCCAGGGATACTCGCTGGTTTGCTTCGACTTTCGAGTAGTGGATCGACTCCAGAATTGCTTTGCTCTTGAGTCGAACTTGCAAAGAATGAGAACATTGTTCCGCTGACCTACCAACATGCTCCGTATCTTTATCGTAGATTCGACGAGGAAACGTGTTTTGGGGTAAATCAGCTCTGTAATCGAACCCCTACTCGGGGCAACAAGACTCGGGATGCCTTCCAGCGGCAGCGCCTCGCCGAGAGGCTTCTTGGGGTTAACCGAATTGTCCCGAAAGGCCGCCCGAGACCTGATGCATGGTCAGAACACTTGACGAAGAGGCCCATTACGGGGGTTAGGTTTAAGTGGGATGCGTCGAGCCCCAGTCCCTGGATCATCGCAGATGTGGGTCCGATAGCCCAGTGCGGATTCGCCACTGGGAGCCCATCGCCGATCTATCGGCGCTGTGTCGCCGATTCCAGGTCGATGCCCCCCCCCCCCCGAGCCAGTCCCCCCCTGACGTTCTCCCCCTCCCCGAGCCGGAGAGGCTGCGCTCCCGGGAAGGGGCGCAGGAGGAGGGGGAGGGGAAGGAGCAGGCACAGTCCACGCATGCCTCCTCCTCCTCCTCCTCCTCCTCCTCCTCCTCCTCCTCCTCCTCCTCCTCCTCCTCCTCCTCCTCCCCTCCTCCTCCTCCTCCTCCTCCTCCTCCCTCCTCCTCCTCCTCCTCCTCCTCGGGGAGGGGAGGAGGTGCAAGCATGGGTGAGGGCGCGTGCGATGGCGACGCGTTCCTCTTCCACGCATACACTTCACGCGAGCCGTCGCCAAATGTGGTCTCGGGTCGTTGGAGATAGTGTGGAGCTGGAGTTTTCGGCGCTCCGCGCGGGTCGAGTGCTCCCACGTTCGCGCATGACGTGGTGACCTTGGCTGCAAGGAAGGGCCCCGTGGGGGGTCGGCGGGTTCCCCTTGGGGTTCCAGTGGCCCCCCCCCCCCCCCAAAAAAACTTAACGCGAGCCGTCGCCAAATCAGGAGGCACTGGGCATCGGCGGGTAGGGTACTCTCCCAGACCCGTGGATCTGGTGCCCACGAGACAGATCCATATGGATCCGTTATTCGCTGTAGAGTGCGCCCGATCCATGGGAAAGGACGGGGAGGAGAAGGAGAAGGAGACAGTTCGCTCCAAGAAGGGGGTCGCCTTTGTCGCCGACGACGAGATTGTGGACGCTGTTGGACGTCTTCGTCGCCAGGGATGGGCGCAGCTCGAAACTCTGGCCTCGCGCACGCCCTCCAGGCGCCCCACCCTTTCTGCACCCATTCAGGGCTCAAGAGACGGGGGTCAATGCAAACGTTGTGGACGACGATCAAGGGAGAGGAGACATGTTACCAAACAGTTTCCAGATGTGTAGAACATGCTTAAAGCACGTTCTAAACATGTTGAAAGACATATGTTTTAAACATGCTTAAACCATGGTGAACACATGATCTATGGCATCCACAATGCAAACGGGGGTCAGTCAGAGCGCCAGAGCTTGCAGGATCCTGCAGTGCCAGGGGAGCATTGACCCAGGCTGAGGTGCTGCAGGATCCGGCAGGACCTTGCAGGATCCTGCAAAGCATGATTGACCCAGGTCTGGATAGACCAAGGTCCATAGATCATCGACCCAGCTGCTCCTTGACCACCCCGCATCCCGTCGAGACTCGAGGGGAGGAGGAGGACGAGGACGAGGACGAGGAGGAGGAGGAGGAGGAGGAGGAGGAAAGGGTGACGGAGCAGGAGGAGGAGGAGGAGTCCCGTCGAGACTCGAGGGGAGTGTACCCTCTCTGGCTCCCCGACGTCCCGTTCAAGCCGGCGGGCACGCACGCGTACATGGTGTCGCGGCGCGGCGCGGCGAAGCTCTTGGAGCGGCTGCCCCGGGCGCGGTGCTCCTCCCCTCTTCCGCCCGCTCCTCCAGCCGCCTCCTCCTCCCTCCTCCTCCCTCCTCCTCCCTCCTCCTCCTCCCTCCTCCTCCTCGTCCTCCTCGTCCTCCTCCTCCTCCAGCCGCCTTTTCCCTCCCTCTCCTCCCTCCCGCCCCCCCCTAGTAAGTGCAGCTCCCGCCTCCCCTCCCGCCCCTTCTCCCCCGCTCCCCGCTGCGCCCCCCCCCCCCTTTCTTTCTCCCTCCCGTTCCGTCCCCCCCGGGCGGTCGCATAATCGCGCGGCGCGACGGGCAATGATCAGGAACTCGGGGGCAGCAACCAGAGAAGAGAGAGCGCATTGGCGGGTGCGCAGGGTCGTGTCTTAGCGTCTCGGTCGGTGCGTTGCCGCGATCTCCGGGAGCGTCACGGGAGCCCGCGCGGTTCCTTGGCTCATTTCGGGGACCGCGGCGACGCATCCGAGCCGCACCCGTCCGTTTTCGCTAAGCGCCGGTCGATGCGCGCACGCCTCGTCCGAGACATCTGGCACGCACGCGCCTACCCCTCGGTCGTTGAAAGAAGGTGTTTTTGGATGCCCAAGTCCCAATCTACGTCAAGTGCCTCCCAACTTATAGCATCGATATGCTTTGGCTGTGTGCTGTTTTTCTCTGGGAAGGCCTGAGTCCAATCTACTCAGTCCGCCTTCCTGCTTCATGATTTCACTTACTTTTTTTCCGACCAGCGTGTACACCTGGCCAGCCGCCACGTGTAGGTCTGCAACGACGGCCGCGCCCGAGAAGTTCTGAGGACCGGTGGTAAGTGTAAGTCGGTCTGTACGTGGCCCGCTTGCGAGAGGCATCGGCTGCCGGCTCTTCCCGTCGCCGACCCCCCGCGCTCGCGGGCCATTTCCCGACGACCTTTGGGAATCATGTGGTTTGGCGCAGCCCGCCTTACAGGCTTTTTGGGCCACGACATCTCAACGGCGCTGGCACGACAGTTAAGGGCACGCGTCACGCTGCTTACTGTCTGTCACCCTGTGCGTTGATCGTTGCACCGCTCGGAACCAGCTGTTGCTGCCACATGTGCTCCCTCGTTTGTCGCGCGATTGCGCATGCCCCCCTGATCTGTATGGAATCGGTATGTCCACGGTGATGTGCAGATGGCTTCTTCGTCGGAGCTCTCTGCTCCGCGGTGGCCTGGTGTGGCCCCCCCGTCTCGGGCGGTCAGCGTGGGTTGGCCACGGCAGCGCGCGCCGAATGTCTGAGTGCTGAACTGCTTCAGGGAGCTGGCTGCACGACGGGGAGCATGTATGTAAGGTATGATCTAGTTACCTCGGTCGAGGCCGATGATGTGGTTGTTGAGGATCTGGCGATAACGTGGAGGCCGACCATTCGCGACGGAATGCCATTCTGGTCTTGGAATGCCGACGAGGAGGGCTGGGCCGTGACCGACGTCGCCCGCAAGGTGCGCGGGAGCCTGGAGGCGGCCCCCCGCTGGCGCCAATGGCGCTTCCGAAGGAAATATCAGAGGGAGCTAAATCTAATGGCCTGCGGTCCATCCCAGCACCGTGCCTGGGTTGTGGGCATGAAGCCACTTGGGCGTTCGTTGGGATCTCGTGGGGGGCCTCTCGGGGTCGTCTTGGAAGCAGTTTGCAGGCCTCGTTGGGGCCGCGTTGGGGCCTCTTGGGGGCCTCTTGTGGCCTCTTGGGGGCCGCTCGGGGGCCTCTTGGGTGCCTCCTAGGCGCCTCTTGGGGGCCTCTTGTGGCGGAAGGCTCAGATTTTCGGTTCGTGTTTCTTCTCTCAGCGCCTTTTGGGGGCCGTTGTGGGGCCCTCTTGGGCCGTGTTCGGGGGCCCTCTTGGGCCGTCTTAGGCTCCGCTCGGGCCATCTTGGGGTACTCATAGGCTGTGGTCGGGCCCTCTTGGAGGCCTCTTGGGCCGTTCGGGGGGTCATGGGGGCCTCTTTGGCCGCCTCGGAGCGTCGGAGCGCCGACAAGGCGAGAGTGCCAAAATCCTTCAAGAGCTTCAGGAGAATCAATGATTGTTGCCCCTTGGGGCCCTCGTGGGAGGCCTCTTCGGTCATGATTCAGGAGGGGAAGAAACACACAGACACAATGAATCGTCGATTCCCCAGAAAATATGGGAAAATATGGGAAGTGGGGGGGAAGACATAAACCCAGAAAATCTGGGAAAATATGGGGAGTCATTTTATTTGTGTGTGTTTATTTGTGTGTCCTGGGGGCCCTTCAATGATGTCTGAAAGAGCGTGTTCTACCGCTGCTGGCAGAAAACCGGGGGGGGTCACTGTGGGTTCCCAACCCGTCCCCCCCCCCCGAAAACAGGGGGGGGGGGTCACTACGGGTTCGACCCCCCCGCCCTCCCAGTCCATCATGAAAAGGGGGGGTCACTACCGGGTCGAACCCCTCCCCCCCTTCGAAAACCGGGGGGTGTCACTACCGTTTCGACCCCCCCCCCCTCGAAAACCGGGGGGGGGGGGGGCACTGCCGGTTCGAACCCCCCCCCCCTCTCGCCGCCGGCAAATGATGCCCGCGCCTCGGGACAGATGGAGAATGGTGGGGATGTTTGGACAGTGGTGGGAAGGGAACGGCGGTGGTGGGGACTGGTGCGGGGACAGTGGACAGTGGTGCGGACAGTGGTGGGGACGGTGGTGGTGGGGATAGTGGTGTGGGGACAGCGGGACAGTGGTGGGGACAGTGGGACAGTGGCGGAGACGGTAGTGGTGGGGACAGTGGTGAAGGCGGTGGTGAGGACAGTGGTGGGACAGTAGTACAGTACTGGGGAAAGTGGTGGGGCCAGTGGGACAGTGATGGGGACAGTGAAGACGGCACTGGTGAGGACAGTGGTGAAGGTGGTGGGAACAGTGGGGACAGTGGTGGTGAGGACAGTGGTGGGAGATGTGGTGCGGACGGTGGTAGGGACCCAGAGTTGTTTGCTGGCGGTGAGCGTGGGGGGGGGGTCGAACTGGTAGTGACCCCCCCCCGGTTTTCGAGAAGTGGGGGGGGGGTTCGAACCGGTAGTGACCCCCCCCGGTTTTCGAGGGTGGGGGGGGGTTCGAACCGGTAGTGACCCCCCCTCCTGGTTTTCGAGGAGGGGGGGCAGGCATTGCTTCAAGCATTTGCGCTCGTTTGTGCTGTTTCGGTTTTTGGACCAGTTGGAGGGTTCTTATGAGGATTCATGCGCCTCCTCCTACCTCCTCCGAGGGTTCCCAAGGGTTTCCTACGGATTCCTATGAGGGTTCCTATGTATTCCTATCGGGATTCTTATGGATTCCCATCGGGATTTCTATGGATTTCTATGCCGGGTTCTACGGATTCCTATGGGGGGTTCTATGGGGATTCCTATCGGATTCCTATGGGTTCCAATCGATTATTGTAGGGATGCCCATGGATTCCTATGCGGGATCGTGCGGATTCCTATGAGGATTCCTATGGTTTCCTCTAGGGATTCCCATGGACCCCTATGGATTCCTGTGGGGATCCGATGCGGATTCCTATGGATTCCTTGTGGTTGGCTCTTGGGGCTTCGTGGGGCTTCTTGTGCTTATTTGCAAGCTGGCTGGCTGGTTGGCCGTCGGGCTGGCTGGCTGGGTTGGCGGGTGGTTGGCCGGCTGGCCAGTTAGTTGGCTGGCCGAAAGATCTCGGGATTCCCCGGGATGTCTGGGCTGCTAGTTGGCTGCTCGGTTGATTGGCTTGTTGGCCGGCTGGTCGGCTGGCCAGCCGGCTAGCTGGCTTGTCTGTTGGTTGGCTGATTTGCTGGCCGGCTGGCTCACAGGTGGGCTGGCTGGCAGTTGGGCTGGCTGGCTTGCCGGCCGGCTTGCAGGTCCGCTGGCCAGTTGGCTGGGAGGAGGAAGAGGAGGAGGAGGAGGAGGAGGAGGAGGAAGATGATTCGGATAATGAGGACGGGGACGAGGAGGAGGAGGAGGAGGAGGAGGAGGAGGAGGAGGAGCAAGAGCAGGAGGAGGAGAAGGAGGAGGAGGGAGGAGGAGGATAGGGGGGGAGGAGGATCATGCGCCTCCTACCTCCTCCGACCGATTCACACCTCATTCTATCTAGGTAAGAGGAGGTATGAGGAGGTAGACAGAGGTATGGGAAAGTAGGAGGAGGAGGTGGGAGGAGGCGGAACGAGGTACGACGAGGAGGGAGGAGGAGGAGGAAGGAGAAGGTAGGAGGAGGTAGGAGGAGGTAGGAGGAGGCAGGAGGAGGCAGGAGGAGGTAGAAGGAGGTAGGAGGACGTAAGAGGAAGTAGGAGGAGGTAGGAGATGGTACGAGGAGGTGGGAGGAGGTAGGGACGAATAGGAGGAGGCGGAGGAGGGTGAGGAAGGAGACAGGAAGAGAGGAGGTGGGAGGAAATGTGAAGGTCAGAAAAGTTAGGAGGTGGTGGTAGGAGGTAGGAGGCAGGAAGAGTTAGGGGGGAAAGAGGAAGTAGGACAAGGTAAGTATGACAACCAAGTTTGCGCGTTAGTACCACCCCTCGTCTTCCACCCAGAACGGCGATGCTGACCGGCTGGCCACCGAAACACACCCGAAGGCTTGCAGGTTCCTGAAGGCTTTTCAAAGCCTCCGAAGTCCGCTGGGCGACGGCGGCGGCGACGACGCCGAGGTACCACGTCGACCTGTCGGCGTGGTCGCTGCAGGACCTGAACCTGTACGCCGCCAAGGAGTTCCTCGCCACGCAGAACTTCGAGGAGGCGTCCACCGTGTCCAAGGCGGTCCTTCCCGTCCCTCCCATCCCTCCTACCCCTGCCCTCCCGTCGGTGGGGGATGGAAAGAAAGCTAGTGGTTGAGGTAAAGAAGTAGCGCAACGATACGGGACCCCTCCAGGGGGAGGGACAGCCAGTATCTCGAACGTCCGGTCCAGGAGGTGAGACAACAGAACGGCGACGACATTGAGGTTTGCGATTGAAAATGCATATGGGAAAGAAAGGGTGGCGTCTGGTGGCAGTTGCGGCGGCGGCAGTGCGGTGCGCGAAGCCTTGCGGGGGGGGGGGGGCGAGGAAGAGGAGAACGACAGAACGGCGACGACCAAGCGCCTGCGACCTAAAGCTGGTGGGCTGGGTGTGCGCGTGGCTGCGGCCAGGTGGTCCACGGCCCCCCCTTGGCCATCGCCAGAGGGTGGGGCGTCCTTACCCCCTCATCCCTCCTCCCTCCCCTCCTCCTCCTCCTCCCCCTCCTCCTCCTCCTCCTCCTCCTCCTCCTCCTCCTCCTCCTCCTCCTCCTCCTCCTCCTCCTCCTCCTCCTCCTCTCCTCCTTCTCCTCCTCCTTCTACTCCTCCTCCTCCTTCTCCTCTTCCCTCCTTCCTCCCCCAAGTTGGCCCCACCACCTCCATTCACAACAATTGGGAGTGGAAAGGTGGAGGGAAGTGGAGCAGGAAGTGGGCGGACGTATAGAAGGGGGCGAGTTGGCGGGCCAGGATGGAGGAGAAGGTCGTCGGCGAGGGTGGTCCATTCCGACGGTCGACCTACACGATGAGTCATGCAACAGCATTTGTGAAGAATCTTCGATTGGTTGTTCGCTGCCTTTGAATGTGGTTTCCGCCGCAAGCTTGAATTTTGGATTTGAAATTGGTAAGTGCAATTATCCATGTGGCTCATCCATAATCAAATAGTTTGGAATGAAGCCGCTGCCGTCGATGATCGTTCTCCCCCGCCTCCTCCTCCTCCACTTCTCCTCCTCCTCCTCCTCCTCCTCCTCCACTTCCTCCTCCTCTCCAGGGCATGTTCCCTCCCGCACCACCGCCCCCCGCTGGCGAGGAGCGCGACTCGCGCACGCAGCGCTTCCTGCAGTGGACCCTGAAGGCTCGCCCTTCGCGTCGGAGAGGACGATCTCGAGGCGAAGGAGTCTCGACGTCTTGCTGGTTGGCCTTTGGGCGACCTCCTCGTCGCCCAAAGGCCAGAGAATGTGCCCTGGGCGTGGGGTCCAGGGCCAGCGTGAAACGTCGCAGAAGACGACCTCGACCCCCAGCCCTCCGACGTCGTGGTTCGCCAGATCCCGGCAGTTGTTCCTCGAGCTCGGCATCCAGGGGGGCAGTCCTCGGACCCAGAGCGACCCTGGATGGGCGGCAATCCCAAGGGAAAGGGCGTCGAGACTCCTGCATGGCCCCCCCTGCTCCGCAGAGTTCGCGACAGCGTGACGCTCCCCTTCGTGCCGAAGAAGACGAGCTCGACTCGAGACAGTCGGGGAGGGCCCAGGGGCACCCGCGCTGGAGGGTTCTCATCGTCGGGCTCCGGGGCCCCGAGGAGCGACCCGGGATGAGGATCGGTGCGATGGGAAATTGTCGGGCCAGACGAACGGGGGGGAATAGGGAAAGGGGGGGTACGAAATCTGCTGCATGCAGCTGGTTTCGGCCCCACCGAGGGGCCCAGTCCTCGATACATGGCCGCCTCCGGCGCTGGGAGGCGCCAGGAAAATCAGCTACGTGAGCTGATTCTCAAACCCCCCTTTTGCTATTCCCGCCTTTCGCCCGGCCCGAAATTGGCACGGTCGTGTGCGTCCAAAAGGGTCGGAGGTGGATAGACCTACTACCCCGACACGTCGATTCTGAAATTGCCCGATTTCGGTTCGCGAGAGGGAGTCGCGGCCGTCATCTTTGCGGGTCCAGGTCCGTCGGTTTCGGTCCCAGGCCGTTTTCACTCATGGGAGGTTTACTAAAGGGAGGTTTGTCCACCTCCGATAGGGGGGACACTAGGGCCTCGGAGGCAGGGCTGGACCTAAGCGTGTTTTGATAGACTTTGGCTGTGTGTTGCTGGTCGTTTTGGGAGGGGGTACAGGAAAGCAGGTAGGGCAAAGCGAAACCGAGACCAACAACAACGCTTGGGTCCAGCCCTGCTAGGGGGATGTGGATATCACGGGGGCCATGATAGCTCCCAAATGTCCTGGCCCCCTCTCCCTCCCAACACATCCCTTGGCCGCCACTCGTCCACGTGCATGCCGCACGCCATGCTGCGCACTCCCCCTCTTGGACGCTCCCGAGACCGAAATGATGGGCTCGGTTATACATCAGAGGAGGAAAAGGTACCCATTCCTCTACCCGAGAAATTCGTGCTTGCGACGTCAGCGAGGACGAGGGCGATGATGACGACGACGACCACGATGACGACGACGACCGCGACGCTAACCGCGACGCTAACCGCGACGGTGTCCGCCCAGCCTCGGTTCTGCCCTCGGCCTTGGCTCAGGCTCTGGCCGCGAGCCCGGTTTCCGCTGCAGCTGTCCCCGTTTTCATTATTTTAGGCCTTTTGGGAGGCCCTCGTCGCCACCGCTGGATTCGCCTCGAAATCCTGGTCAGAACGCACCCCGGAAAGGTCCTGGGAGTAGCGGTATCGGTACCTGTTGGTTTCCCCATATCCGTGTTGAACCGGAATCGCTGTCGGCGTCGCCGCGCACAAGGTCCATTTGAGGCACAAGATCGCCCGCCCAACGGCGGCCGCGGTTGGCTTCGGACACCTAGTTGTTGTTGGGCATCGCACCCATGCCTAGCGGTGGGCTCCGGAGGCTCCCTTCATGTCCAAGATGATCGAGGAGAGCGGCGCGCCTCTGGAGTGGAGCTGGAAGGCGGGGCCGGCTCAAGGGCCCCGGGCTGCGCGCAAGGGCGGCCCTTCGCCAGAGTGGTCGTCGAGCGCAGTGCCATAGCAGCGGCTTGGGCGCTTGGGCTTGACCCCCCCACGCGCCCCCCCCCCTGAAGCCGCGCACACAAGGTCAGCCTTGCCCAGGGTCATTCTTGCGTGTAGCCGAGGGGTGGGAGTTCCAGGAGAGAGGGAGGGAGGGAGGAAGGTGAGGGCGAGGAGGAGGAGGAAGAGAAGGGGATTGGATTGGATTGGAATGCCCTCGAAAGGGGGAGTGCACAGCACTAAAGCCGCGAGACACCGCGGCCGGCGGGCGCCCGCGCGCGGGCGCGCGGCGGGCGCGCGGCCGGCCGCGGGGCACTCACGGCGCGGGCGGCGCACGGCGCACGCGGGCCCCCCGCAAGCGGGCAGCATGGGAATAGCTGGCCAGCTCCCCCCCCCACGTTCTGACGGCCGGAAACGGCCCAGCCGGAAACACCCGGCAGCCGACAGAACGGGGGGGGGGCCAGACCAAGCCAAACCCACGCCACCCACCCCAGGGGCCCAACCCGCACGACACGACGCTACACGACGGGGGGACGAAACGGACGACACGACACGAACGACACGACACGGACGAACGACACGACAGAGACGAGCCGCCGGTCCCGCCCCAAGGCGGCGAGCGCTGGGGGGAAACCAGCACCGCCCTGGGGGAGGCCCCGGGACCTGGCGACCCCCCCGGGGGAAGGAAACCGCACTTTGGCGGCGTCCCCCGGGGTGCGGGGGCTTTTCGCCCCTCGGGCCCAGCGCTCCCCGCCTGCGCCAGGGGGACCCTAGGGTCCCGACCCCTCCCCTACGGGGGGGGCCCCCTCGGGGCAGGAAGAGAAGGGGAGGAGGGGAGGGACGAAGGGGGAGGGGAGGGATAAGGGGAGCGGAGGGAAGACGTGGCGAGGACAAGCAGCAGGACGAGGAGGAGACCGAGGAGAAGGGGGGGCGGGAGGTCGTGATGTTCGCGATACCGGTGCCGTTCACGAACAAGAGAATACTCATGGAGGCGGGGCCATCGTACGCAATCTGCGCGATCCTGATCCTGTTGAGTATGTTGAGGCGGTCGGCTCTGCTGCTGGCGGGGTCGTTCTCGTTCTTCGCGCTGGTGGTGTTCACGATGCGCTGGCTGTCGGGCACGTACACCCACCGCACGGCCGCGGTCATCGTGGCGCTGATATCCTACCTGTGGTACATGGCCCTGGCCTGACCTCGCAGGCGGCTTGACCCCGCAAGGTGGGCCCCTGTGAAGGGGGAGGAGAATGAGAAGGAGAAGGATACGGAGGAGGAAGAGGGGGAGGAGGTGAGGAGGAGAAGGGGGGGGAGTAGGAGGACGTGGAGGAGGGGAAGGGAGGAGGAGGGGGAGGAGGAGGAGGAGGAGGAGGAGGAGGAGGAGGAGGAGGAGCAGGAGCAGGAGCAGGGGGAGGAGGAGGGGAAGGACCTGTGGTACTCGGCCCTGGCCGGACCTCGCAGGTGGCTTCGCCCCGCAACGCGGGCCCCTGGGAAGGGATCGGGGGGGGGGGGGAGATGTGCCCGTCGTCGTCGTTGTCGTCGACGTCGTAATCGTCGTCGTCGACATTGTCGTCGTCGTAGTCGTAGTCGTAGTCGTAGTCGTCGTCGTCGTCGTCGTCGTCGTCGTCGTCGTCGTCGTCGTCGTCGTCGTTGTCGTCGTCGTCGTCGTCGTCGTCGTCGTCGTCGTCGTAGCCGTCCGTCGTCGTCGTCGTCGTCGTCGTTGTCCTCGTCCTCGTCCTCGTCCCCGTCCCCGTCCTCGTCCTCGTCCTCGTCCTCGTCATCATCCTCGTCCTGGTCGTCGTCGTCGGCGGAGCCGCAACGACGCTAATTCGGCGATGCGGCTCGACGTGGAGCAAATCTGTTTCACGCCGACGTCGCTGATGCATCGCTGATGCATCGGCGATGCGGCCCGATCGGAGGGGTCCAGAGGCGTAAGAGGCTTCCAGGAATATCATAGCCGGGGCCATGGTACCTCCGTGGAGATTATGGTCCCCCCTTTTTCTTTAACGATCCGAAGGCTGGCGGTCTCAGCACGGCGGGGGGTCGCCGGAGGTCTTGGCAAAGGGGTGCAGGCCGGAGCATGAGCTAATGCCCTAATCGATTCTGCGCGAGGTGACGCTTCAGGCCTCCCAGATGGTGCCAGAGCAGATGGGGTTGGAGGACAGCCTGGCATCGCCGTTGCATCGGCGAGACGGCTCAGTCTAGAGCCCGATTCTCTCCGCGCTGGCGTCGCCGATGCGACGCTGATGCGACGCTGATGTAACGCCGATGCAGCGCCGATGCATTGCCTGCGATGCGGCGCGATCCTCGGACCCTGTCTTCTCGGACCCCATCTAGGAGGCCTCCAGACGCTCTTCCGGCCGGCATGCTATTTTTCAATCCGGCCGTCCGGGCGCTTGAATTTTTTTAAATAGGGTTCCGAGCCAGTGTTTCGATGATTTTCCAGCCTCATCGCTTTGCCGGAGGAGGCGGAGGACGATGATGCTAGGATGATGCCAGGTATACGGTGGAGACCCATGCCAAGAAGCACCCTTCTTGCCTCCAGGGTGCCCTGGGATTCTTGGGTTTCGATGCGCTCCCACACCACAAATCTGGGCGTCCTGGGGGTTCAGGATTGGATTTCTTGTGGAAGGTCTCTTGTGGTCGGGCCTCCACTGTACACCATGGGCGCCAGCAGCGGGGCGGGTCACCGTCTGAAGTGGTCACATGGGGTGCTCTGCCGCACGGAGGGAGGGAGGAGGAGGAGGACAGGAGAGGAATGAGGAAGAGGAGGAGGGGGAGGGGGAGGGGGAGGCGATGAGGATGAGCATCAGAGCAAACCCTAGCACACGTGATGGATGCAGTGCCACACCCTCTTTCGGACGTAATTCCTCAGAGGTTTAATTCATCGCTGGCGCTGGCATATCCGTGATCGAAAACTTGTTCTATACTGCAAAATCCCGCCCAACCCCAGCTAATCCCGCTCAATCCGGCCTAGTATGATTTAATGTTGGGCTTATTCTCGTTTGATCCGGCTCAATTGCCTTTTGAATTGGGCGCAATCGTTTTCAATCGATCTTACAAGGACTTCGCATGAGTTGCCTCCTGACCCTCCCGTCTCCAATGCGGGCAAGAAATATATCCATATGTTTTGCATCTTGGAATTTCGGGCTCCCTTCCTCAGACACTCGAGCCGCAGTGGATGCCTCTTTGGCTGTCTTAGGGCGGTCCATGCTCGTCTGACGCCGTCGGAAGCCTTCTGAGGGGCCTCTCTCCGCTGTGTTGGGGCCCTCTTGGGATGCGTCAGGGCTACTCTGGAGGCCATCTTAGGTGTCTTGGAGGCCTTTTGGGCCGTCTTGGGGCCCTCTTCGGGCCGTCTTGGGGGTCTCTTGGGTCTGGGGTCTTGGGCCGTCTTAGGCCGTCGGAAGGCCCGGAAGGCAGCCAAAAAAACATGGAAACAACTTGTAAATTCCGAAGGGCAATCACAGAGGTGACCATCTGATGTGGATCAACTTGGAGGCCTCTTCAGTTGCCTTGGGCCATCTTGAAGAGATCTTAGGCCGTCTTGAGTGTACCTTGGGGCGTCTGAGAGATTTCGTTCAGCCATCTTGGGCTCTCTCGGGGCCTTCCTGGCCGTCTTGGAGATGTCTGGGGACCATCTTGGAGACCATCTGCTGAGGTCATCTCAGCCATGCTGGAGGCGATTTGACCAATGAGGGGTGGAGTTTCGGAGGCTTTTAGGGTGGCCGGCGGGCTGGGACGAGTCCCCATTGGGAGTTCCAGCACGCCAGGCGTCCAGCACGCCATGCACCCCGGTGATGAATCAACAGGGGGCGGCGGATATTGCAGACGCCTACAGCGAATCACCGCCGCCCCCCGCCTTTTGAAAGAGCATACGTGGCCGAACGTTGCGGCCAGAGCTCGACCAAGCTATCGGATTATGGATTCCCTCAGCCGTTGTGAAAGCACTTCGGGAAGCGCGATGGGGGAGAACGCAGAAGAGATGGACAGGGAGGAAGAGGAGGAGGAGAAAGAGGAGGAGGAGGAGGAGGAGGGAGAGGCCTCTTGGGAGCCTCTTTGGGGCGTCTTCGGAGCTTCTTTGGGCCTCTTTGGGGCCTTTGGAGTCTCTTTGGGAGGTGATTTGGCCGTATGAGGGTGTTCCTGGCCCGTATGACGTCATCGGAAGCAGTCGAGCGGGCCTCTCTTGGCCGACCATCGTTGGCGTCTTGGAGGCTTCCTGGGCCATATTAGGGCCCTCTTGGGGTCGTTTTGGGGGATTTCTTGTGCCGTCATGGGGGCATATCGGAGACCTCTTGGGCGCTCTTGGGGCCAACTTGTTAGCCTTTGGGACCGTCTTGGCCGCCTTGGGCTATGTGAGCGCAGACAACGAGCAAACGCCAAACTCGCTCAACCACCCAAGGAATACCATTGAATGTTACCTCTTCGGGCCTTCCTGGAAAACCTCTTGGAGTCCTCTAGAGGGCCTCTCTGTCCGTCGTGGGCCATCTTGAGGCCATCTTGAGGCCATCTTGGCTGCATCTTGGGCCGCCTGGGAGGCATTGTGCAGCTAGATTCGGCTCTCTTGGGTTCATTTTGGTCGTCTGGGAGGTCATCTTGAGCGTTCTGGGGGCTTCTTGGGCCGTCTGTGGTCCCTCTTTGGGGCAGTCTTAGGGGCCTCTTGGACCGTCATGGGACGATCTTGAAGGCCTCTTGGGTGATCTTGGGTCGAATATGGAGACCTCTCGCCTTCTGTCGTCTCGGTCCCAGGCAACCCCGCGGCTGACCATCCGAGTACCGTGCCGCCCCCTGTCGCCCAGCTTGCTTCTTCTTGGCCGTTCTGTGTATCTCTCTCTCTCTCTCTCTTTCTTGCATGTCGATCGCGGGAGCGCGGTTGGCGCGTTGACGATGGACGATGGTGCAGCGGTCGTGGTGAAAGCCCGCTGTGGGAGGAAAAGAACTGCTCTTCTTCTTCCTCTTCCTCCTCAACCTCCTCCTCCGCCTCCTCCTCCGCCTCCTCCTCCTTGTTGTTCCTTCCCCCTCCCCCTCCTCCTCCTCCTCCTCATCATCATCATCCTCCTCCTCCCCTTCCCCCTCCTCCTCCTCCTCCTCATCATCCTCCTCCTCCTCCTCATCCCCTCCTTTGCCAAACGCCGCCCGCGACCCGAGGATTACGGCGACGTTCTCAAGCGACTAGAGGACGCCCCCCCGCGCGCCCCCCCCCCCCCTTCCCGCGGAGAGGCGGCGGCTCAGGGCGGACCAGGGGGCCGGGGGCTGCCCCTGGGGCCGCGCTCCGAGAAAAGGTTACACCGTCGGGCCTCTGAGTTCTGCTCGGCGGCGAGCGTTGGGGAGAAGTGAGGAGGAGAAGGCTCGGTGCCCGGCGCGGGCTCGCTGCGGACGTCAGGCGCGGATTCGACACGGATTCGGCACGGATCCGAGGAGTCTGACATGGATTCGACGCGGATTCGACGCTGATAGGATTGCGACGGGACGGACAAGATCCCTCGAGGATGCAACAGAAGGAGGAGAAGGTTTTCTCAGAAGGCGGTGGGACTTCTCAGAAAGCCCGCGGGTTTTCTGAGCAGGTCTTTGCGTCTGCGGGGCAGGATTCGAAAATTTGTCAGCAGGCCGGGGGACGTCCGGGCTGTCTGGAAAGGTGTGCCCCTCCTCGCTCTCTCTCGTGCCGCCGACGTGGCGGCGACCCAGCGCGGGCATGCGAGGTTGACTGTCGCCAGTGGCCTTGCATCGGGCGACGCCTTACCGCTTGCGCTGTCGGAGAGCTGCGATCGTTCAAAGTTTGAATGGTCCACGCGGAATCATACAGAAACCATCAGCAGCATCATCATCAGGAACCATCATCATCAGCATCATCAGCATCATCATCATCCTCCAGATTCTTCAGAGTTCTGTCGGGGGGTCTGCGGTCGCGCGAGGCCAGGATCGGGATCCAACACCGCCCCAGAGAGCATTCCGGAATGACGACGGAGCGCTCTGGGGTGCTCTGGAATGGCCGCGGCGCCCGATGCCTCGTTCAGACTCGCCCGATCTCAGAGATCCCGAAGTCAGGGTGTCCGGGCCAGTGGTGTTGTGGCTTTGGTTTCGTTCCGTCCAGGGGCCGGCGTCGGGCCGCGGAGCGGGTTGGCACGTCTCTCCGGAAGAAGCAGCCGATCTCGGGGAAGGGGGCCTTGGTTGCCCCAACTCGCTGCGGGCGGAAGGGCTGTT